GCGGACCGGACAGTCGCGGGCTGCGTGTCGCCAGCGTTTTTCCGCGGGCCGCGATGAATGAAGCGGCAGATCGTTATTTAGGTCGGCCGGCAATTTTCGTACCCGAGGCTTTTAAGCGTCCATCTAAAGGGGTTTTTCAGACGGGAACAGAGAGAGAGAGAAAGAGGGTGGAAGAGGAACGCGCACGATAACGCTAACCCTTGGCTAAAAGGTGCTCAGAGGTACCACCAATTTTTCACCCTGCACGACGTGCCAGCTGCCTCGCAAACTTTGCCCTCCTAGGTCTTAATAGCAGATCTTAACTTGCCACACTTTGCTCTGTTAACCTTCAACCCTTAATCTAACGCCTAACGAATTGCCGGATCGTAGAAATGGCTCTGACCGGAATTCTCTTTATGGCAACAGAAGTGAAAAAAAAGTCTTTTACCGTTTGCAACCTGTAAAGATAGGTGTAAAACGGTGATTGCACTTTGAATCGGGACTCGAACCCGGAGCTTTCGTCGACGAAAAGAGAATTCGAGCGGTAGGATTCCAGTTATCGTTCGAGCCGATACTTTTCAGTCGCTCGCTCCTCGGAACAATAGCTGTGGCCGTATCGAGAATGGCCCTAAAGGCGGTATCTCTAGCTCCGCGCGTAATTAACGCATCTCGGCTCTGTGTTGAAAGTGCACCGTACACCAACAGATCCCTAAAAGTTAAGCGACTTTCGAGCTACCGAATTAATTAGAGCGCGAATCGTAATTACACTCCGTGAGCGCGTTTTTCAAGCCGGAGCCGAGGCCGGAGCCGGCCTATTAAACGGAGGATGAAAACCCGCCGATTCCCCAGCTACATCCGGCGTTTTTCATTTAACGACCCTTCAAATTATTCGAAATAAACTGTTTTACAGTTGTTGGATCGAATTAACTTATCATCGGTTGATAAGACAACCCAATTGTCGTTTTTACTCCCGTAATCTCTCTCAGTTCCTGGTTTTCCTCGATTCATTGGTACAACACTCGCTTCACCTTGGACACCGGGGTCCTCGTTACCGGGTTTCTCTTGCGACGATAAAGTTAATCGATCATCGGTCAGCCTAATGAGCTCTTCCCCGGGGTACAATAAGAGAAATCTTCCGGATTCATCGATACCGAGAAATAATAAGAGAAAGAAGGAAGCATCCTGGCAGTTTTCATCGATGAAACGAGATAGAGATAGAGCTCGTCAGGATGACGCACAGAGACGGAGGAAGGAGAGATAAAAAATAGAGTAACGAGGACGGCGATAAAGAGGTGGCTCGAAGAAAAGGAATCGTTTGTCAGGGGGAAAGAAACAGAAGGAGGCAAGTATCTCCCTTGAACAGGGAGAGAGAAATAATTCCCTTCTGTAAGGCAACGGAATCATTCACGGAAAAATAATCTCGCAGCAACAAGCGTGCACAAAGGGGGAAAATATAAGTATCCGCGGGCGAAACGGGACGCAAACTTCGCCAGCTGATATTGATTTGTTTTTGTATGCTCACGGTGAAACAGGCCGAATGTGTGTCACAAGGTAAACGGACCGCTGAAATTTCCCCCGGGTGGTCTCGAATCGCTTGAACCAGCACCTGTCCAACGATTTGCCCTCGTGGCAACGGTTCGATTGCCCGTTCGCGTAGAAATCATCGAAACCGCCACCAGGACCCTTGCGTCGTCGACGTGTACCACGTATCGCTGGAAATGGACTATCGATTCGCTATCGTCGAGCAAACGTAGGAACGAGAAGCAGGATTCTCGCTAAAGCAACGTCGCCTCGAAGATTAACCACGTAATGGCGATTCTAACCGTATTACTGGAAAGCGACGGTGCCTGGTAACTGTCTACGGACGAACGGTTTCCGTTTCTAGCTGCGGGAGGAGTCTTTAATATCAATTGGGAATTTAAATTGAAATAACCGTGACCAAGTGTAACCGCGTTTACGCGGAGCTCGATATCGATCGGCTAATCCGGAAGCTTTGCCCCCGTCGAGGGTCGATCGAAAGCCACCCTCCGCTTCGGCTTCTACTCGGATCCTGGCTATCCTCCAATTATACAGCATCGTAGTTGTGATTTCCGCATCATTTTCCACGATGCTTTTGATATTTTTAAACGATTTCGTAAACCATCGCGCGTCGTCCATCGCTCTGTGCAACGCATTTGAAACGTGTCTCCTAATGCATCGAGACATTAAACGCGCGGAACGCTTAAGAAGATCGGGGGAAAAGAAAAGAAAAGAAAAATTGAAACGGTTACGAGGGATATCTCTGGTAGCATTCGAGGCAACATCCTCTTCGAACAATTACACCGAGATTCCGTGGAACTTACGACCACGATGTTCCCAGTGTACGGTGTTCTATCGCGAAGAAAGGAACGTTCGAGTTGAAAGAACACTAAAATCCAATTCGCTGAGCATAGAAGGGGCGAGGGGTGGGAGGGCATCCCCGACCATTCACTATAGCCGAACAAACAAAGCGGTCAAAGGAGACGATCAAACGATAGAAAACAACCGACTGAAAGGGATGTCTGGCATCCCCTAACCGTTCCGCCAACACCTTCGATTCCAAGCGTGTTCGATGTTTCAGAAGTTTCGAATTGTATCCTAGTGGAACGGGAAACGGAGAAGGGTGAAACAACGCAGGGGCGGGGGAGTAGAACCGTTAAATGAACAACAGCGAGCAGTGCCTTGGTCGGCAAGTGGAAGAAACGGGAAGTCGAGTAGCGAGAAGTAGACTTCAAAGAGGCAAAAGAGGGTGAGTGAGAAGGCTGAAAATAGGGATGGTGGAAGGGCGGTAGGTGTAGAGTACGAGTTGGATGGAGGAAGGTGGCATGAATTAGAACTCATTTGGTAAAGTGTTGCGCGTGTAGCGAGTTTTGAAGAGGTCGTCGGGGGTGGTTCGACGTCGACCAAACGGGGGTGGAAGGTGGAGAACGGTGGTACAGAGGTGCTGAAAATCTCAGCGTTTATAACTGACGGTATGGGGTTACTTTTGATCCACAATTACCCTCGCACCGAACTCGATTAAAAGTTAAGGAAAAATGAAAGAGCCATATGAAAACACTTAGCCTAGAAACAAAAGCACGGACGGATGGAAAAAATAGGTGGTGGACCGTAGGAAAGGGAGCGAATGAAACGGAATAGAGGGAAAGAGATTGGTGGAGAAACAGAGGAATACCACTTTGCTGGTTCTTGCTTGGCTCAAAGAAAAACGGGTCGACACGGCAGGGTTGTACGGCTACCGAGTAAGTAATACCCTTTAATCATCGAGCAGGAGAGGAATGCCGGAAAGTTTATACTTGAAATCGACTGGCGTGCCTGTATGTACAGGGTGTACAAAAAGGTGTCCCATAGTACTTGAAGAGTGGTCGTCGATAAAGGACGTGTTTTGCGACGAACGCGGATCGAAGCCGGAGAAGTGTTCTCGATGCATTCGATGACGGGATGGTTATCGATGACCAATAGGGTATTTATCGAAGAACATAGAGGCTACTTTGTCTGAATACATTCAGCGACTACTTAGTCGTCCGATCATACTTGAACCCCATGAAACTTGTTGAATACCAGTTCCGAGGAAGGTATCGCGACGTTTCACGAAATCTGTGTATCGTCACTTTGTATCCGGCTTTCGGACTAATAATTTTACGGCCAACTTCCGGCCCGTGATTGCCCAGGAAACTGCTAATGCGCGCACGTCCTACATAGACGAGAGAGACGATCGAAGGCTTTCGAAGTTGGATGTAGTTCGAGGAGACGGCAACCCCTTTTCTTGCGATAGTTCTAAACAAATATTTCTTTGCCACACGATGGTTCGCAACCCTGTATATTCGATCTTTAACGGGAAAGGGTTAAAAACAGGTATATAGGCCTGGAAGGTACACATTCAGCCCCGAGATTGCTTTGCCCCGGAAATCTTTCATTTTCCTTCTCTTTCAGCGTGGAAAACAACATGTGCGCGGGTATAAAGATGCTAAGGGACGGGAGGAATAATGGACGTTGCCGGTGAACGAAGGGTGAATTTGTAGTTAATTGAAGACCTCTCGCGTTCTATTTCGCGGAAGGTGTCCGGAGATAAATAATGGACCATCTTGGGTAATCTTTCGTGAGAAGGTTTGATGGATGGCGTGAAACTTGATTTCTTTTTTTCCTCTTCGTTAAAAGGGGGATTCGACCGGGTTAGCCGGAATTGAAAATCTACCCCATGGAACAGGGGTTTCTTAACTTGGATGAACCATCGAAAAAATTCGCAAATTTTCAATCTCTAAATCTTTTTCACGCGAGCTTTTGAGAATCGACCACGAAGAAAGATGTATGGGTCAAAATTGGAAGCGCACGGTAGGCGCGAATATCAAAGGCGATAGAATCGTTGCAATACCATCGAGTAAATATCGGGGGTGTGCTTGCTTGATGCACCTACGCTGGATCGATACTCTAAACGGAAAAACAGGAAGATACCACCCCTTTTTTTATTTGAACTCAGAGAGAGAAAAAGGGGTTGGGAAGTTCCGCACGAAGAGAAAATACATCGAGCGAAACGGGCTACGAAAACAGGCGCGTGAATATTCAGCCCATGTCGGAATATTCAGCGAACCTTTCACAGAGATCCTGCACGATCGAGATACAGGAAATTCCACGCCACTTCCGATCACCCCATAAAACTTGTCCATTGAACGTCCGTGAAACGAACGATTCTTTTCGTTCTGACGGGTCGGAACGATCAAATAAACGTTGTTCTATCGAAGAATCCATCATTTCGTTCTGCTCTTTCAAAGTTGAAAGTTCGAAGAGAAATTCGTTGAAATGAAAAATTAAATTTCATTTTTATATCGTCATAAAAATTGAAAGGGGAGCGACACCGGGTAAATCTTTATGCTCGTCGAATAAAAGCATCGACAAATAGAAATTTCTCGCGGACGAGGGGGGGTGGGTAGGGGGAGAAGGGGTCGGTAGCGCGTGTTGGCCACGCGTGACAGAAGTGGGCCGAGCGGGAACGGTTTAACAAAGAGCGTGCCTCGAAGAAACCGAGTAGGATGGCACTTGGCGGAGGAGACTGAAAGCCCGTTTGCATAAAACCCCCATTCACTTTGTGGGATTTCGGTGCGAGCGTCCGCGACGTGACAAATTTTCGATATGCGCCTTCCATTTGGACATCCATCTAGCGAACCGAGAGAGGCAAAGAGCCCTTATCTTTCTTCCCCACCCTGATCTCCCTCTGATACCCTAAACGAACGTTTTATAAAAGTGAACAACGCGTGAGAGTCTCTTCAGGATATCAAGACTGAACATCTTCGAATTCCGTCGAATAAATTCCCGTCTCGCTTAATAACTGAGGCTCTAATGACGACAGTCTTATCTCTGATCCAGCAAATTGATGTTCCAACGATTCCCGATGCAGGCAATCCTGGAATGCCCTGGTAAATTGTTCCTGAAGACAAACGGTCTCTCGGGGAAGGAGGCTCGCAAACGCGGGAACAATCGCTAAATCATGCGTCGATTTAAGACGACGGAAAAAGGGTGAAGAAGGAACGGAGGAAGGGCTCTCGAATTTTAAGTTGAAAGCAGAGGCTACGCTTGTTAGAGTCCCGTGAAATTAAGTCCGCTTAACGAGTACGAGCCGGGGAAAATTTAACGAGCCCGCCGTCAAGTCGACTCCGCGAATTTCACAGCCACGCTTTTCCCTCTGTTTTCCTCCGAGGAAAAAGAGGTAAAAGTAAAAGTGAACAGCAGCTGGCACGTTCGAGCCGGACGACCGCGAGAAACGTTGACGAAGATCGGTTTTTTAACGTCTCTCCTCATGCAGAGGATGATGCAGAGGATTGAAAAAAAGCTTTTAAGATCTTGATTAGAAGCTTCCGAGAAGATTCAACCTAGCTTTTCTTTTATACAAGTCTTTAAACGTTTCGTTAATTAACCCGCTAATTGTCGACGCTGAAAATTTATAATATGTTTTTATCCGAACGACTAATTTTCTATGAAGAAAAGAACAGACTACCATTGGAAGTAGAAGACGTCGTAGAAAGTTCGAGAACAACTTTTTGCACACGTGTACAAAGAAAAATCGACGAAGAAAGACGAAAGGACTTCTGAAGACAACTTTCGATGAAGCCTCTGATTTATCTTCGAGTTTTAATCCTCTGATCTATACAGTGCAACTTTTGCATACAAAGATCAATAAAAATAAAAATTTCTAAATGATCAAAAATATTCCCATCCTTTCGTGTCTAATACTAGGATTCAAGGACACTTTTGACCATCTTATCCTGCTATACCCGTTCGTATCAGCCCATTTCCAATGAAATCCATCATCCAAGATACGCTGTGCAAAGGAAGCACATTTCGAAACCGGAAGCTCACCTCGCCACGGATGGCCGGTACATGTGTCCTTAAGGGTCGACGAGAACCGGAAGCGATATAAGGGTCGGAAATGGTGGAAATCTCAAACGGTGCGTGTCGCGTAGGGTTCGTTTTTCCGGGTGGACTGTCGGTGGAAATAATACGCTTCCGGTCGTTGACTTTGATCGATAACGTGTTCCGGTAATCCGTGTTCGTCCACCCTCCTCCCCTGAACCTGACGCATTAATATCGAGATTGTGCTTACGCGTACGCCAGGCGGAAATCGAGCAGAGATAAACCAGGACATCGGACCTGGTCAATTCCGGCGAGGAATCGTCCTGTACAACCCTGGAAACTCGAGGGTTGGAGATGCTCGAGGGAAGGATGGACGAAACTAGCATCGGGAGGGGTCTGGTCATCGATAATGCATCCGAGAAAGCGGACAGATAACTTGGTCGTTTCATCGCCGGAGGCAGTGTTCGAGGTGGTAGGAGCGTGTGTAGAAATGGACGAGCATGCTCGTGGACGTAGCTGGTCCAGATAGCCACGGATGGCCTAATCGTCGACGATCTTTTTCTATCTTCCATCAAACGGACATAAACAACAGATCCTCGCTATATCCTTCGTAAAGCTGTAGCCTTAGAGGCCTAGACTGTCCCAGTCGAAGAGCGACTTTAAAGACCAAACACCTAACATACCGGGTGCAGAGGTTCTTGCGAAGAAACAGCATGAGATGCGATCTTCGTGGTCGAGCGAGTCCGAAACCTTATAGTTAGATAGTCCAAGCCGGCTAAAATGAGCCATCCTCTCGGACGGATGCTGGTGCTGCTATTGTCGCTGCAACAGCTCTCCGTCGTCATCCAATCCAAGGTGCACACAGAACGGGAAGCTGTCCTGATACCCGGCGACATCGTTCTGGGCGGGTTATTCCCGGTTCACGAGAAAGGAGGCTCTTCGTGCGGGCCAAATGTGTACAATCGTGGGGTACAGCGTCTGGAGGCGATGCTGTTCGCCGTTGATCAGATCAACAGGAATAAGACGTTACTTCCAGGAATCACTTTAGGTGTGCACATACTGGACACCTGCGGTAGGGATACTTATGCCCTCAATCAGAGCCTCCACTTCGTCAGGGCATCCTTGTCCAATTTGGACATCAGTGTGCTGGAGTGCGCGGACAAGTCTGTGCCAAGGGTGAAGAAGACTGCTACTGCCGGGCCGATTTTCGGGGTCATTGGTGGTTCTTACAGCTCGGTATCTCTTCAGGTGGCTAATTTGCTCAGGCTGTTCCATATACCCCAGATATCGCCTGCGTCCACTGCCAAGGCACTCAGCGATAAAACCAGGTTGGTTCCTCTGCTTGTTTCAGGGCAGTGCTGGCGAACCTTTATATATGTATATATTTAAATAACTATAATCAGCAACTATGCTTAGAAAAAAAAATTGAATCTGAAAATCGTTCACGTGCCAGCTAAATCGTGCCCTAGGTTCGCCACCACGATTTTAGGGATTTTTCTTTTATCTCTTTGAATTATTATCTCAACGTTGAGATAAATTGTTAAGAAAGAATTACCCCTCATCGAAAACAACCCTCTTCCCGCGTGAAAAGAGGATCCAGTCCGAGTCATAACGAGGTCACGACAGTCCCAGAATTATTTATATCCTGTCCCAAGTAATTCTCAGCCCCGGACGAATCTTAACCTGGCGATCTCGGTCAGGTTCGACTACTTCGCGAGAACGGTGCCTCCGGACACCTTCCAATCGATCGCGTTGGTGGACGTGGTGAAGAGCGCCAACTGGTCCTACGTCTCGACCGTATACTCAGAGGGTAGCTACGGGGAATATGGGATCGAGGTGTTCACCAGGGAAGCGACAGAGAGGAACGTGTGCATAGCCGCTGCGGAGAAGGTGCCCAGTGCAGCGGACGACCGCGTATTCGACGACATTATCCTAAGATTGAGTAAGAAGCCAAACGCGAGGACCGTGGTGCTATTCACCCGGGCAGAGGATGCCAGAGGGATCCTGGAGGCTGCGAGAAGATCGAACCTGAGCCAATCGTTTCAATGGCTGGCCAGCGACGGCTGGGGTCGTCAGATCAAGCTTGTCGAGGGTCTCGAGGAGGAGGCTGAAGGTGCGATCACTGTGGAGCTTCAATCGAAGAACATACCAGGCTTCGACGAGTACATGGCCTCGTTGACGCCCGATACCAATCGACGGAACCCTTGGTTCAGCGAGTACTGGGAGGAGGTTTTCAACTGCGTCCTTAGGAAAAATCTCATGGCCAATCCGAACGCGACGGTGTGCTCGCCGCTGCTTAGGCTAACCACGTCGACGGGTTACGAGCAAGAATCTAAGGTGCAATTCGTCGTGGACGCAGTGTACGCGTTCGCGATAGCTCTCCACAATTTAAAACAGGACATGTGTGTGAAAATCGAGGGTCTGTGCTCTACGATGGCCAACTACGACCGGGGTTCCTTCTACAGGAATTACCTGCTGAACGTGTCCTTTGAAGGTGAGTCGATAATTACTTATCTTCGACCAACTTTAAGAATCTTACGCTCCTACAGCTCTCTCCGTGGTAATGTAACGAGATTCTACCATAGGTAGCGGGGAATTATCGAATGGCTACTGTAATTATTCGTGACGTGTGTACAAAGGTAGGATAGCATCCGAGCATCGAAGAACGAAATTCAATATTTCGCGTTGGCCTGCTATCGGGAAGCCCGACGGATTCAATGGGGGGATGATATTCGGCAATCGGTGACCTCTCTCTCGTATTAAATTCTTTCCACCCCCTCGGTTCGTGGCGGGCAATAAACGCGACCAGCGATAATATCGAAGCGACGCGACGCTACGGGGCGACGATAAACGCGTTGAAACGATGACATTCATGGGGGATCGAACAGCGATATGAAATTTTACATGCCCTCGGGATCCGAACGCTTTGAAAAGCCGGGTAATTTGCGTGGTTACGATGCCTCTGGACTGATCGCAAGCACAGTTTTGCTCGTGATTAATTTCCACCATTCCCTTTCATACCGCGTAGATACGTACACTACCAACCAAAGCTACAAACCTATTACCATTTGCATTCTTAACACTTATCAATGCCGTTTTAGGTAATTTTCTTTGAATAAAAATATCCTTCTACCAAATGTTAATTAAATGCGTGTATCTGTGATACAATCATTTTAATCGAACTTATTAACATTCCGACAGGACACTTTAACATTCTGCGAATATTATCGAATGGCAACATTGCGTCCACCCCATTCCCAGTGTGCGCGATAATTCATATCGTTCCCACGGCCTCTATCAAACGTATCTTCAACGTAAAACCACCATCGCGCATCGCTCTGATAAAACGGGGAGAGAAAAAAAAAAAACAATGCCATTGGACTGCACATTTAGGATCGATACAGCACGATCCCCCTGTGATACCACCACCCCGCACATTTTTCCCCATCCCTCTCTCGCTTTTCCTCGTTTCCGCTCGTCCGTCGTCGTCACGACGCGACGCCTTGCTGGCCTCGTACGAGTTTCCCTCTGAACCCTTTTCAACGGGTCCATCCTTATCGCGCCACGTACGAGGATAAAGCGACCACCAGCTCCGCGTTTCATTTCACCGATGCTTTTTCAAATCCTACAACAGACCGACCCGGCTTTTCAAATGGTTCTGCCGAAAATTCGTTTCGTTTCATTCGTATACGATTTTCCTTTCGGCGTTCGATTTAGAAATGCGCACTCTGAGGGTAGATTTCAGATGAATCGGGGAGCCTGGCTCTTTATTCCCTCGGAACCTTGCGCGAATCGAGGCTCTCTCCATGGTCCGCCGTCCGGGGGTTAACTTCATACATTTCGAAATCGGTCAATATGCTGAGAATATCGACGAAATTTCTACGTGGTCGTTTTTAGTAAAGTTTAAGCTTTAATTCGAAATTGCTACGAGTCTAATTAGTCTGCCGATTTCTTACGCGATATAATTTCCACTTAATATGGTCAAAGGTACGGGCGCGCGTACAGGATATCTCGAATCGAATCGGACAACATTATCGATTCGTTTGATAGACAGGCGAGATTTCTACGAAATGGCCAGGAAATAATGTCCCGGTTTCGGTGACTTGCCGCGCTTCACCGTTCGGATCGATTCGATCGATGGATCCAGCTCTGGCAACCGGACGAATCGGAGATTACGGGCTACCGTGTAGCTCGCGAAATGGATCGGAAGAAATACCTTTTTTTTTCCCTCTCAATGTATGTACGTTATAGCGGCTCCCGTTTCGATTTACCGAGACTATCGCGTCGATTCAACGATTCGATACGAGCTGGACGGAAATTTGTTCTCGTGATCCTTGATCGCGTGACGATAATTGCTGTAAGTGAATACGAGGCATGAAAAGGTATCGGATGGAAATTTCAGTATTTTAATTAGACAATTGATGAAAAAGTTCTTCGTAATTTCGAAATATCACTATCGCAATTGGATTAGCTCGCGCGGTTTTATTTTTCCGAGCTGGAAATTGAAGAAACGCAGAACCCGTCACGGTTTGACCCGATCTGATACCCGGCTGATACTGCAATTTGCCTTGGGGTCGTTAACGAAGGAAAGCATTAACAAGCGGAGCAGCTTATTACCGCCCACATTTGTTCCATCCGAGGCAATAAAATCGCGAAACGACTGGATGTACTTGGTAACTTTTCTTTAATTTCATACAAGTTGGAAAAACTTGCTTCCTTATCGAACGTTCGACCAGACGTTCTTCAACGCGAACAGTCACGAACTTCGATTCAAAGTTGCAATCATAGGCTTGTATCATTTTCAGTTCGAAAATGAAGGTTTATGGAAATAAATAATTTAGAGCAATTCGTTTCAGATGAAGCCGGTAGCGAGGTGAAATTCGACGAACACGGAGACGGTCTGGCACGCTACGAGATCCTCAACTTTCGGAAATCAGACCAGAACGGGACTAATGGATACCATTATCGGGTAAGCGAAAGCACTTTTGACTTGTTCTCTCGATTAATTAAAACTTCTGAAATACGGCCTCGCTTTGTCCCCTTTCCTTCTGGACACGGTCGGGAAAAAAAAACTTTCCACAAACTACGACCGGCCAAAAATGTTCGCCACTTTTCACGCTCGTTCGAGCCCGGTATAATTTCGAAACTGAATATTCCTCTTATTGGAGTCTGTGAATTCCCATCGCCCCCGGGTAATTACTCTTTCGGAAAATGTTGAAAACCCCTGCTTTCCTCGTAACTCGAAATCATTTCTACCTTTTTTTTTTTTTTTTTTTTTTAGATTTGTTAACTTCTTACAACTTTTAATTATTAGCGTTATTTTTCCTCATTTTATTCGTTCGATGATTATCCACGGCTGTTGGATGTAACGTGCGAAGGTAGGTATATTTTCAATTTCTAACTCCACCTATCGGCCACTCCCTCTTGTATTCAATTAACGATCGTTTTTCGATAAAAATCGTAAATCAATGTTAGAGTCAGCCGCATCGGTAGCGTTTCGAACGATAAACCAACTACGGCACATAAATTGCAACGTGACCTTCGTTGCATCCACCTTCCTACGGATACAACTTACACCGATGAAATATCATCTTTAACCCCACCCACCGGGCCGGAAAAAGGTGACTTTAAAAAGCTCAAGTTTTATTGCACCATGTTTCTACCAAAAGTCGAACATTTGTTAAACTAGGCCGCCATCCGCTTCGTGGCTGACATACTAGAGCGAAGCGATTGATTTGCAGTAAAAATAACTTTAACAGAGTTGGGACACAATATAGCAGTTAAAAGTAGTGTTTAATTGTTGACAATGTGGCGGAACACGAATTCAAAGCTCGCGTGATAGGCTCGCAAAGAATGGTCAAAATTGATAATCTAGTTTTTGAGTTACGAAGTCACAAAAAAATTTCTATTTATCGTTTAATAGCGGAGCTTCGCTCTAAAAGAAAAAAAGAGACAAAAGGAGGTCAGCGTGTATGAAATCTTTTTCCCCCCTTCCTGAAAGTTGCACAACGCTCGTATTTCAATTTCCATACGAAAGGCGAATATATCTCATTATCAAAGTGGAGTATCTTTGGTGAAGAGAAACGGAGATGCTTTCCGCCGAGTGAAATAGTTATCCCTCTAGACTCGAGATAATAGTTGGTGCTCGTATTTCTTCGTGACATTTGCAAAATACGAAGAAAGTAACCGCTCTTGAATGGTAGCAGCGCGCGGCTGAGAGGAGCGCGCGTGCATTGAACACCGAGTGTCATCCTAGAATCAACCTCGCCGAGCATTTTTAACGTCAATCACTGTTCATCTCGAAACGCGATACGTTTTCGAATCGTTAAGAGCCTCTTCAGCTATCAGAACTTTGTACGCCGTGGGAAAATAGCGGCGAATATTGTGGGATTTTAGAATTTCCTAAAGGATCGATAGATAGATAATTGGCAAATATTCTAAATAAACTTAATAACATTTCCTCCTCCTCTCTTATCAATTCTCACAAATTGATGTTCTTAAGTTTCTAATCGAGAGCCTCCCCTAGAAATTTCCAACCCGAAACGTTACATCGTCTATGAAAACGTTTTCCATTTCCCCTGTCACCAACTCGTATAAATTTACATTTCTCGAATCCCTAACAAGTTAAATTTTCGCTGTAAGTTGGGGAGAGTACAGTTAGGGTAAGTTGCTCCCCTAAACGCCACAACGAGAAGACACTAGAAGCTAAGTAAAGATATAAATTTTGGCGGCAGGTGGTAGGTAAATGGTCCCACTCCCTGGACATCAGCACGGAGGAGTTGGTCTGGTCGAGGGGCACGAAGGACATACCGATCTCCGCGTGTTCCCTACCCTGCGAGCCAGGTATGATAAAGAAGCAACAGGGTGACACTTGTTGCTGGGTATGCGACCAGTGCGAGGAGTACGAGTTCGTCTACGACGAGTATACCTGCATGGACTGCGGACCGGGTTACTGGCCGCACGAGGACAAGAGGGGTTGCTACCAGCTGCCGATCAACCACATCAGATGGAACAGCGCTTTCGCGATCGCTCCGGCGGTGATTTCGTGCCTTGGAATCGTGGCCACCCTGACGGTTGCGTGTCTGCTCTTCCACCACAGGGATACGCCGGTGGTGAGAGCGTCGGGTCGCGAGCTGACGATCATTCTGCTGGCCGGGGTGCTCGTTTGCTACTTGAACACGTTCCTCTTGCTCGCAACACCCACCACGGTCACCTGTATCCTTCAGAGGTTCGGTGTGGGGGTGAGTTTTAGCGCCGTCTACGGTGCCCTGTTGACCAAGACCAACAGGATCGCCAGAATCTTCGACTCTGCATCGAGGTCCGCCGTCAGACCCAGGTACATCAGCCCTACGTCTCAGGTGTGCATCGCTGCTGCTCTGATCGCCTTGCAGGTGAGTAGACGTTAGAAAAAATACAAGCTCCGTTGCTCTGAGCATTTTTCTATCGAATCAGATCGTGTTGACGTTGGTGTGGATGATCATCGAGCCACCTGGCACAAGATTCTTCTATCCGGATCGCAAACAGGTGATCCTCAAATGCAACATCCAAGACATGAGCTTCCTCTTCTCTCAACTGTACAACGCGTTGCTGATCCTCATCTCGACGGTGTACGCGGTGAAGACACGCAAGATCCCGGAAAACTTCAACGAGAGCAAGTTCATCGGTTTCACCATGTACACCACTTGCATCATTTGGCTGGCATTCGTGCCGATCTACTTTGGGACCGGAAACGCGCACGAAACACAAATCACCACACTCTGCGTGGCGATCAGCCTGAGTGCCTCTGTGACCCTGGTGTGCCTCTACTCGCCGAAGGTCTACATAATCGTCTTTCAACCGGACAAGAATATCCGAAGGAAGGTGACCATGGGGGATAAATTTAAGAAACAAGGGAGCAGCGCCGGCACTTCTTCCATTACTAAATGTGAGTCCATCTTATTATTTCTAATCATAAATCCAAGCGTTGATAGCTGTCCTCCCTTCGAATTGCACTGGTACTTCCACTTTAGCTTTTAAATCATCAGCACCACTCCCAATAGCTATGGAACAACGAGTCGTAGAGGAAGTTTGTTTTCCCCAGTTCCTGCCTCGACGACGTACAAAATTGACTTCGTGTCACGATGAAGTAGTAGGCCGACAAAGAATATCCATCGCGTCGCTTCGGGTCGAAAGTGGAAGCGGCTGGTACAAGGTGTTGGCATCGAGCCGAGTTCACCAGTGTGTTTCGAAGCTTCATAATTTGCGATCGAGTCAGCGAATTTGGTTGCATTATTAGCCCACCGTGTTCGGTACCCCGTTATCGCTTCAACAGATCCCGAGGGAGGCAAAAAAGCCTCTCCTCCCTTCTCTTCCTCGGCAAATAAAAGAAACGAAACGAAACGAATCGCGTCAGGGGTGAATGGGTTCTGTTCGCGCCACTTCGCATTTGTTCTTCGTTGCAATCGATCCCGAGTGTTCTCCTTTTATTTTTTTTTTTTTTTTTTTTTTTTTTCATGGGTTCCCTCTTGATTCGATACGGGACTCTAAAGCCCTGCGTTCCGTTTAATAATGGGCTCAACGATGTTGATGGTCCGGCTATAAATCTAGGCTTAGCCAGGGCGAAATAGTCGAACGAGCAATCGGTGGAATGAGATTACGGAACGTTGCGAACGGGGCTAGGATTAAATTTCAGACGCTTGGAAAATCGCGAGTTCCGTAACTTTTCACCGCGTCGGAAGGAAATTAGTACTTTGAAAAATTTCTTTCATATATTTAGAGTTTGATGCTTGGTTAATTCAAACGAATAATGTGGTTAGTTACCAGATGACCCGATGCTTAACGCGTATTCTATTGCCAGCCGAACGGCATCGTCTCTCCTTCTAATTTCCCTATGGAAATCGATTCTCCCATTACCACTGTCTATTGTAATTACGGTACTAGTTACAGGGAGACGGGTACTACGCGATAACCCAACGATTATTAAGACGGGAACGATAATAGCTTAAATTATTAACCCTTTCGATCTGACGGTTGATTACGTATGGATATATTATTACCTTCCCAAAGTGTCACGAGCAGGTTGTCTCTTAGAAAGGAGACACTCGTTTCAGGGTTTGACAGTCTTATCTATCTTTTTGACGTTACTTGTCTCTGAATTCTTGGACCGACATTATTACATTTTCCTCGCATCACTTTTACATTTTATTGAAAGATTCTCTAAAAATTTGTTGAAGAATGTATAATATAAATGGAAGAAATGTCCGTGTAAATTAAAACGGATAATATTCTAATATCCGTAGAAAAGCAGACGGAAAAATCACCTAACGTTTCTCCCCGTACAATTAAACGCGTTTCATCTCGTCTCTGTCGTATCCAGAGGGTTAAGTTAATTCTTGGATCCGGTACACGTCACGTCCGGTAGTCTGTCTCTCGGAAATGGTCCTACATCCTCTGTTAAAGGATTACGCGTTACAGTTATGAGACTTTTATGAAATCCGGCTAAATTAAATGGACCTCCATCGTTCGAAAAATTAAATTTAAAAGCCTAATTTAAAGTGATATTGTAGTTACGATAATTGAATGGAACGAAGACAAAGGATTTATTTAATGAGTTGTATTAAAGAGAAATTGATGTATCCGTGCAAGGTCTTAGGAGATTCAGTCAATGCAGATTCGAAGAAATTCATTTTGTCGCGACAATATCTTCCAACGAGCGCAATCTACATGGAATTTCACGAAATAGTTACACGAACGAGCTGCCTGGTTCCCTATATCCTGCCGGATATTACGGACTATTAAATTTTCAGAGGATTTAAGTGGCGAGAACGTTCGTAGTCCACGTTGAAAATTCAGCTGGCGAACGCTAGGCTTTCGATCGATTCCCTTGCGACGCTGCACGTCTCTCTTTATTCCTTGCAATTTTCCGAACATATTCTACCGATAAATTAATACCTTCAGCAGTTTAAATAATCCCTGCGATCCCTTCCGTTTAAAGGTTAACGAACACAGGATTTCCAATAGAAAAAGAAAAAGAACAGGAGATATTCGTTTATCCATTTGCGATGCACGAAACAAAGGCCTGCCCCTTTCGCTGTTTCTTTTCCATCGATCGGTTCGGAATGTATTATTAACTGCGTACTAATTATCCACGTTCGTTAACGGAGGAGCCGAAACACGTAGTTAATATTGCATAACACGGAACACGCCAACGAGGCGATTCGAAGCTTTTAACGCTAATTACAATCGACATTTTTCACCCTCCAGGGAAGGCTGGAAAACCCTTCTTTGTTCACGCCGCGTCGACTACCATCGATACCAGAGGACGATATTCTTCTTCCTCTCCAAGGTCTTTCTTAACCTTTTTATCGCAAACAATCGATATATGTCCACTACCTCGTCTTCCTGCATTTCTTTCGCTATCTAAACGAATAATAATTTTAGAATTTTCCTTAACAATCTAACGATGATTTCCCAGGCTCCGTAGACAAAGCGGTGGTTAAACGTTTGTCAAGAAATTCGTCGTTTCGATTACTCAAGTTTGCTTGTTTTGATAGTTAATTTAAACATCGAGCAGCGTCGGAATGTTTCGCTTGTTTAATACTTGTTACGATCTTCTGATGCGCGAGTAATAGCTGAAAGGAGATTGAATTCGATTCATGGAACGCAAGGTATTTCAGAACTTAACTGGCTGGTTACAGTTTATGAACAGGGCTAGAGGGATGTTAACAACCGTACACTCGCGATTAAATCAGGCTTCCTCGGGGAAAACGATGATGTATCGTTTTCTTCCCACTCCTGACAGACTTCCTTCTCCGTAGGAGTCCCCGAGGAGAATGACGATGCAGGGATGAAGGGACCCCAAATGCAGGGTGTTCCAACGAGGAAATTCAGCCGTTCCGTGTCTTACGACCACGGTTAATTAACACTATTTACGATTTGACTCATTTACGATTTTATTGCTATATACAATATAGAACAACTTAAATAATTTTTCCTTCCCTTCCCACTCTTTTGTTCTTAAATCACTTTTAATATTAATATCGTTTAAATTAGAATCATGAGAAATCCTGTTTCCTCAATATCACTACTTTCCCTAGGGAAGTCTGATTTGATCGCGAGTGTACACCATCGTTTGTAATATCGTGAGACTGTTACTTCGAATACCGTTTCCAAAAGGAAGATATCGCAATTAGACATCTCGTGTAATTTGTTGAAAATCAATTAGCCGTTTAATTAACTATCCCGAGGTAAATTCCGTTTTATTGTTCCCGCATCCTTTTGTTGTTCGATATTCGATTTTAAACGAACGAATTCACAACCGAGGAACAATATTCAACGATTCATTGATTTCTGACGAGTTATTAATACCCGCGTTCTGTGTTTTATTCTCCTGTTAAACAAATTCCGGGAATAATTCTGATAAATAAAATGTTCGATATCGCGAACGAAGCGGAGCTAGTACGATTCGAATATTCGTTTCGTACGATTACGTAGACGGTGGAAAGTGAACTCGGTGAAGATTGTTCCCGATAATTCAGCTAATTTCGCGATACGAGAACGCGGACGAAGTGTCGTGTAATTAGGAAAAGTTTGGAGGCGAGTATTTTGCAACAGGCGTTAGAGAAGGTCTGACTGTGGGGTTCGGGAAAGCAGTTGAAACTTTCCGGTACAGCACTCGGAAATGAAAATTGCCGCTATTAGTTCGAAACTTAGCCTTCAGTTTGGAAGAACAAACGCTGACCGTCCCTCCTTGCTACCCATCCAACGGGATCATTCAACTTAAAACTGTTTTAATTGAAGGCTGATGTTTGGATTGGTCACTACTTGGAAAACTCCTACTTTTTCAATTTCATTTATTCGTCAAGATCGATACGAAACGACGAGATCGTGAAATTTTACCCTGCTATGCTTGCAACTATGAAAAAAAAAAAAAAAAAAAAAAAATGATAACTATTCTCTGTTTCAGGTTGCGAGTTGACCAGCGAGAGTATGCCCCTTCAAAGCGCCTTAACAGCAGCCGTGCAGACATCCGTGGGCGTGACGGAGATCTCCCTAGCCTCGAACACATCGGCGAAAACTAATAACGAGCAAGTGGCACAGCTATAGAGAGAATGCCCAGGAGAAGGAGAGAAAGGGGAGAACCACAGCACCTTGGCGGGCCGTAATTCAAATTTCGCAGCAGCCAGAGGTATCCTGGCGGTCGGCCAACCGATAAGAAGGTTGGGAATCGCGAGTGAATGGTGCGAATGTGTGCTAATAAAACGGGGATGAAATGTTGTGTAGAAAATCGGGGATAAGGTAACGATTACGAAGAATCGCGAGTACACCATCCGTTACTTCCGGCCTCGATTTCTCCACGGATGACCGTGAGTAAAATCTCAATAGTTTCTTGAATCGTGATCGAGGGTTAGATCGAGAAACGCAGTGGAAAATGGGTGATTCGTGTATGCAACCGTTCGTAAGTACCCAGGCCTTTTTTAAAAAGGAAAATCTTTTCGAAAAAAAATAATCGTTATCTCGAGAACCGTTCATTTCCAGCGAAAATTATTATTATAATGAATAATTATGATATACTAAATGATATATCGACTTATGGTTTCGCGACTTCCGCTGGAAGGAACTGGACCCTAATTTTAGTACGAATTAAAGATAAGTATCTGGATACTTGTGACACGGTTGATGTAGATACGCTTAGATCGACGTTCGATTGATGTTACGAAATGGACTAAAACCTAGGACGGAAACCTACGTTGCCTATTAATCTAATGACGACATTGATCATATCGTCATTGTCGTATTTGTTCGCTCATTATATCGAGATCATTCGTGTCGCGATCACTGTTGTCGTTATTGTTACTGTTAACGGTTATCCTCGTGAATTACACATATATGAACGATATACAGGTACACCTACACACACATATACGCGCATACACGTACACCTACACACGCATATAGATGGTACGTTAATACGAAAGAATTGCTGGCACAAGTACTCGAGAATTAAATTACCAAAACTAAACTCAGAAATTATTTCAATAGTTAATTACCTTTAGCATTGTAAAACAGAAGCGAGTTCTATATTTATGTATATCTATATCCATGTACGTTTATGAACGGGCAAATGCCCGTATAATAAATTTATTATTACTATTATTGTTAAATTGAAAACGATTCGATCGTTAACGATACCGCGTGAGTGGACGTTAAAGATTAGCGATCCATCACGCGATATCGAGTGATTATTATTACAGGTAGTACTGGTGCCTGCAATTATTCCTGTACGGTTCAATCACGCAAATTGTAATTAGCTTGTTCGAGTGGTCGACGTTCATTGTCCACACACCTTTCCACGTAGAGGAATACCTACGTTGACGGATCGAAGGAACAAATAATATTTATTACAATTTCGCGAGATGTATATAACATGTATATCGTTAGATAGGTACATTCTAACGAACCGCGGGATCTCGTATACCTATTCCGTAACCAGTGTTTATTTAATCATTTATAAACTCGTTATCAATTAATTGGGCTGTCGACGTTTGTTGGAAATGAGGACGCTTATTTTGTGAATTCGAACTAAATCGCGGAAACGGATCAACCTCGGGACGGTGAAAGTTTCGAATATTCTTCGATATATCCGGTTCTACTCTAAACTATACCGTCCCCTTCTAATTATCACCCTTTCACACGATTTAAACGTATTAAGATTATTCGTTTTGCATTCTTTTCCTTTCTTTACGAAAAAGAAATGAAATTAACATCTAGTCAATGAAGGAAGTACACTTCGCGAAGGAAGTACCTCGCGAATGAGAAAGAACGAGCGGGAGTGGGGGAAAGTGGCGGGAAATTTGAAAATAGACCGGTTAAGCGACGCACGAACTTCAAATATAACCTCTTCCATGAACGGTAGACAATAAACTAATCGCTTTAATCGACGAACACTTTCAACCTGGCTCGACCAATATCAAGCATTCACACTCGACTTGTTCGATTAACACCTTCAACTTTCATTGTCTAAAACATGGCTAGTGGTACTTTAGTTTATAGTCGAGAAACACGAAAAGAAAGAAGAGTTACAGTGACGAACGCACGCGATATAATACGATACAGTGTATAACGCGATAGTATCGAAAGTTACAATTTCGATTCTTTCTCAAAAATCGTGGTTGTAATCTTCGACGATCGTCGTGTAAACAATTCGAAAATTATTACGAGCGTCTCGAAAGAAAATAATTTAAAAAAAAGAGGAGAGTGTGAGGAACGAGCATATTTCGACACGAATCCGTTGAATTCGAAGCATCGTACAAACAAAAAAGATAACTTTGTATCTTTTATTATAACACCGAATATTGAAATAGAGTTGTCCCGTCAAAATGAACTTTCGGATTTCTTATTTACCCTATTTACCCGATTTCTTCTCCTATCCTGTGCTACACTACCACCACAGATAAGAAAAAAAATAAGAATTAAATATTGATTCGAGAACGATGATATCCCGTGAAGCAATTACCACGGTTTAATTTATGAAATTATAACTTAATTTTAGTGACAGATAGATTAGCAACGCAACGAGAATTAAATTATCCCAGCTACATCCATCGCTCCAAGAGCCGTCTGGTTTTAATTTTCACCTATTTTGACCGATGAATTTACAACCTACCTACAACGGTACCAGGAAGATTTAAGATTTTCTACAAGCTGTCTCAAAGGAATAGTGATTTCCGGTCTGGCTCGTTTAAGCAATGGCCGTCAACGAACAGCTGACGCGCGACTACTCATATAGGAATTAGCGAAGAACGGCGACGCGTATCTCCTAATTAGATTCGCAATTTAACGGCAAATGGTAATTCTACTCGAGCGAAAGAAAATTGAATAACGTTACGATCCTATAAATCATCAAGATATGGTGTACTTGCATCTAAACGCAAAACATACATTTCATCGTTGATTTAACGATTCAATCATGGCCAGTAAAGGAATAACAACAACGTATAAACGAAAACAAGTTCACTTGTCTTCCTTGACCGTAAAGTCCTAAGTGATAAACTCCACTTCTGGCGTTCAACCATTATTGCATGAACTTTGTTTCACGTTCGAGCACATCTTAATAGCCGGTGACCCGAGTAAGAATATTCATGACCCGTATTCCATGCAGAGTCCAATTTTCGTTGGCATTAATAAAACACCACAATATTCCGTCAGGGTCACTGAAATAGACTGACACGAAATCCCGATATTCTTGTTTCTCATTAAGGATGCAGCGCTGTGCTGCCATGTCGGTCGAGAAGAAAAAGTAACGTAAAAACAGAAGTTACATTCGTATGGTAATAATTAACATTTTAACAATTACCTGCGATTTGCCTCTTTATACGTATGAAAAAAAACCGGTGCGCATTCGATTTGAATACAATTAAACCCAGCGCCCGTCTACTCGGGACAAATTTTATTTACTTGTTTGATGAGAACGTGCGTGGAACAGGTACCCGAAATCGTCGTTCATTCGAATATTGTAAACGCGAGTGGAATTTCAGTACAGTGAATGATTTATAATCAAACGTAATTGAATTATTTCATTAATGAACGTAACACATCGTACTCTGGTGTTGGATGTTGTTCGAACTAGTGTCGCTTATACATTGCGTAACTATTACCGGTCAACACGCGGGAGAAAATATACATATATTTTGATAACAGTGAATGCACGATAACAAGAAGCGTGACTGAAAGTTCCACGCGCTGCTTTCCACAGATTGCTTACGATCTCTTGTTTTGTTCGGTAATTACCTTATTTCTCGATCAAGAAAATCGTGCTTCGATCGGTAAAAACTCTTCGGGGATGTCTCTAACGTGGCGATTTATAGCCCTGACCTATCTGGTAAGAGCACTTGTCAAACGAACAATCTATTTCTAGATAAATCGCAATATCGTGCCCCATAGAATTCGTGAAGAATGCCCTTCGTATAATCTCGGCTACTCTCGGAAATCTTCGGTAGCGTGTTTACGTACGATTCATGGAGTCGCGACTGTTGTTACTTGAGAGAACGTGACGTGTTTATCCTGTTTAATATCGTGCATGCAAGGTACACAGCCGAGGACACCCAACAAACTACAAATATTTCACATATCGTGTCGTTCGATGCGTTTAATCACCGTAATACACACGATCAGCTAACAGGCCTGCTATATTGTGCCACTTATATCGAGCTTGTTTAACCTTTAACGAGTCAATATGTTCAACAAGAGAACACCATCTCTTACAATACCCTCCATTTTGTGGTTTCAAACAAATTATACGACAGAGAACTACATAGTAAAGCAATAAACACGTAGCCGTAGCACGATAAGTGAAATTAACACGCAACGTAAATAACCCCTCATAGTTACCCGAAGCGTTTTATTTAGTATTGAACGTAAAATAACGTTCGATTTCTGTCAATTTCCCGCGAAATGTCACAATCATTTCGACGATTAATTTATCGTTTCAATGTTTGTCATATACTCAAATTATTATGTTACAACATTCAAATATCGTCACAATAGATACTATTTTTAATTCTAACATTGTAAAATACGATAAACTGTGTAATTTGTTAATGACTCACCGTTACCGTTGGTTTCCCTATCGACTCCATTAGGATTAGCGTCCGTCTTGAATCCTGAAGACAAATTATCGATGAACAAGCGATTTACTTAAAGAGTCGGTTTAAATTATTTAACACTAACTTGAATCACATTGCTCTTTACGTTTTTAATGTTCATGATTTATCGTTTAGATTATTTTTATAACTTTTCTTGTTCACTTTACGACGTTCGACCTACCCCAGCCGAAGACAAAATTTAAACTAAAGATGGCTGCCGATGTACTACGTGAATCGAATACGCTACCCAACGATTTTTCTATAATTGTATTAATATATGTTTATTTATTACTTTCAATGCTCAAATATAAAGTATAAAAGTAAAATATTAATTTTAATTTGACTTTTATCTATCGAAAGTTGATAATTGATTATGGATAATTTCGTACAATCTAGCGTGCCAAATTTCAAATGTAAGGCAATATGGTTCCTAATTCAATACACTGATTTAAGCTCTTGCAATTCAATTTTTCAATTTTAAACACAGAATTCGAACTAAAATATGTATATACACAATTATTCAAAGATAAGAACAGTGATTTCCAAGTTATTGCTGACGAATACAGAAAGAAATCCATGTTTATTTAGGGTAGGAATGTACGCGATCAAAAATGTCGATTCTTCTCTGTAAGCTGCTTTCGATGCGGAACCGTCGTCCCCTTCAGACTAACGGATATCGGAGAAGGAATTCGAGACGTCACGATAAAAGGATGGTGAGCAAAACAATGAATTTCCCGTTAACCGTCATACCTACGACAAGTCCTGACAATTACAGACTGCTCCTCTTATCTCCACCCCTCACCACCAAATGTATACGTACATATGTTTCTTTAAAAATACATTATTCGAGAAAAATATCATTTTCGGGTGATAGCGCATCACCTAACAAATATACGAAACGATGTGTTTCGGTTCAAATCTACCGTAAAGGCAACTGAAATGTACTCGATCCATTGAAATTCATAGGTACGTGAAACCAGGCGACCGGGTGTCTCAATTCGATAACATTTGCGAGGTCCAAAGCGACAAAGCATCTGTGACGATTACTAGCCGTTACGACGGATTAGTTAAAGCCTTGCACTACAAGGTGGACGATGTAGCTCTGATAGGGAACGCGCTACTGGACATCGAACTAGATGGTGACAATGATGGAGGTACGATAATCGAGAACAAAGAGAACGTCAAAGATGAGGAGGAAAAACAAATTGGGTTAGAAAAAGTGCTGACCACCCCGGCAGTCAGAAGGATAGCCATGGAGAACGATATTAAGTTAAAGGACGTCGTTTCCACCGGCAAAAATGGAAGAGTGCTTAAGGAGGATATATTGGCTCACTTGGAAAAAATTTCTGTTGGTTCCGAGAAAAAAAGGGCGGAGGAAAAACCAATAGCCGAGAAGGTGATGCCGATAAAAGGCTACACCAAGCATATGTGGAAAACGATGACGCAATCTCTGGTAAGTTAGATCTTCTGTTTCTCTCCTGGGAAAAATCATATGTAGCCAGAAATTCTGAAGAAACACATTTCCTCACTTTTCTTATCGATCCTAACTAACGTAATAAGATACTTCACTAACCATTAGATTAAATCAGGGGTGGGTAATTGTTTTGGCTCGGGGGCCACTTTAAATGATTGCATTCATTACTTAACTTTGCACTTCAGAAAGGTATAAATTGTAGCATAAAAATCAATAAATATAACTTCAATAAAATAGTGACAGTTTTATCCAATTTATTTAAATACGAGACAAATCTTTCGTCACGCACGGGAAGGAAATCTCGGTTCAAAGCGGATTTTTCCGATTGTCTTGGCCGCTATTTGCCCACCCCTGAGTTAAATGATACAACCTGCTTCCTTTATAAATATAAACCTTTATACTTTCAACAAGTATGAACCTACTAACTCTTATAACAAAGGACATATTTATTTTCCAAATTATAAACATTGAAAAGATCTCAAGTTTACCTATTTTATGTTCAACGAACATGTTCCATGCTCTTTTCTGCTTTGTAAGGTAATTCCAATTCTTGCACGCTTCTTCACAACCTAAAAATAATATTATTTCATTAGATGATGTTGCGCAGTGTACGTATTGACTGTAATATTAATCAAGCCGTAAATTGCAAGATTAGCAGAATTTCGTCTATCGCCTATCTACTGTATTATGAACAACGAGTTAATCGTTATAAAGCAATACGCGATAAAGCATCAGCAGCTAACGATGCGACGAATAAACTGGTTTAAACGATTAAACGACCGTCAGCGGTAACGACAAAAGGATAAAAGTAAAAAAGTAATTGTAATTTAATAATCGTACCAGAGAAGTCTGTCTAGCAGAGATTCTGTACGAATCGTGTCAGCAGTTGGAACATGAGAATCACGACAAACCGATAATAGAAGTGCGTCGCCTAAAAGTGACGTTGACACACGCGATTGATAGCAATCGATCGAATCCGACCACTCGGCCGAATTTCCCGTCGACGTTGACAGACGAAACACAGTTAAAGTGTTCCGGAAAGCACAGATGTTTCAATCGTTTCATACCACTTCTTTTCGACCTGCAAATATAACGTATACGTGTATGCTTGCTGACTATGTTAATTATATGCCCCAAATAAACGTGTAATTAGCGGCGGGAACGTTAGATAAAATATGTATATCAATTGTTTACAGAGTATACCAGACTTTATGTACAGCGACGAGTGCAATGTTAATAAATTGATGAATTACCGTAACGAAGCGAAGGATTTCCTGAAACAGCAGGGTATCTCTTTAAGCTTGATGCCGTTCTTCATCAAAGCAGCCTCGAAAGCGTTGGAAAAGATACCGCAACTGAACGCATGGGTCGACGAGGAAAATGAAACCCTACGAGTTTTGGATAGTCATAATATTGGCATTGCTATGGATACACCCGAGGGTTTAATAGTACCGAATATAAAAAATGTTGAAAACCTGAGCATCGTGGAAATCGCAAAAGAGCTGAATAGACTTCAACAACTTGGCAGGAATGCTTCGATACCGTTGAAAGATTTGTCGCAGGCAACGTTCACCTTGTCGAACATTGGCGTTGTAAGTTAAACTTTCATATTTTCGATGAAAACTTTCAATGTAACGAAATTAAGTGACATCAATCGTTAAACAATCAAATTACCTTGTATTCACTTTGGAATCCGTTGACATTCAACTTCGATAGTGTGATCGATCTAACATATCGATTCATTCGATTTGTTGGTCACGTGTCGTTACGATGCCATTTGAATTATTTAAAATATTATTGCCGTTTGCAGATTGGTGGTACGTACACGGTGCCAATAATACTATCTCCACAAATTGTAATTGGTGGATTGGGTAAAGTACGAACATTACCTCGATTCGACGATAAAGGGAACGTGGTAGCTGCGAATATAATAACGATTAGTTGGGTCGCCGATCATCGAGTTGTAGATGGCGTCACTATAGCGAAGTATTCAAATTGGTGGAAGCACTATGTCGAAAATCCCACATTCCTGTTAATAGGCGCATAAATTCATTGATTTTTATTTTAGAAATGTATTTTTCCATTAATAATATACTTATATGAAATGTTAGTAACTACCGAACTCCCTCATAATAGATTTCAGTTTCGAAGGCTTCAACATGTAGAACGCAATAAAAGTGTGAAAACATTTTATACGTAAATATTAATTTATTTATTGCTGCACAACCAACTAGGACATTTTAAGAAAGGTAAAATATCTTTTTTTTTCTAACATATTCAAAGTGTTACAACTGTATGGTAGTTACTATATTATGGTGACCAGTCAAACTGTGAGCACTTTTGTACACCACCAAGCATAGTAGACTTCCCCAAGATTAGGATTCTGAGAATTCCTACTTCCTCTATATCGCTATTTTTCCTTGGGAAGCCTATTTTGCTCGATAGTGTACAATAAATCTATCATACAATGTCATACAAACCATTCAAATAGAGTATACAAAAAAATATGTTTAAAAAAGTGGTTGTACTGATCAAAGTTCTATAATGAATCTATTTATACAAAAAAATAATTCCATTCTTAAAATGATATGACATTAAAAGAAAGGAAAATCTAATAACAGATTCATAATTAAAATGAGAATTTATACGAGTACGACCACTTGTTCATTTATATGTTTGTAATTTGTATATAATACAATTTAATGTATCATATTTTTTCAATCACACATTTCCAGTACAATCATTACACTCCTTTAAATGCCACTTAAATATTTCCTCAAAAAGTAGTCAGTCTGTTTAGTAATTAGAGTAGTAGAAAAGATTGTATATGTGTTCTTATGGTCCAAAATCTTCTTTTTAATAATTAAAATATTCATTTGATTCCGCGAACGGTTCTAATTCAAATCTTTAACGACAATATAATGTTTCAAATGTTAAGTAAACGAATACACATGCAAAATTTGTACGCTTATTAAGAATAAAGACATAAAGAGTATTGATTGAAACATAAATGCATATATAAATATATATCATTCTTTTCTATCATAGCTCTTACAGGTAAAACTGGTATTAAAAAAACTACAGAAAATATTACTAGAGATACAGATGTTAGCTGAAAGGTACAATCCACCTTCAATCATACTTCTTATTTCCCAATATGACTAGGTATGCAGATTATTGTTGGTAAATATAGTTAGTTTAAAAGTTTAAATACAAAGCTGCTTTTGTATAATAGAACTACATATACTCGTAAAAATAATTAAAACACATAACTTTTACTAAGAATACTTTACAATTGAGTATATAGTTATCTAAAATTACTTTCACAAAATACAGAAGTAAAGTGAGGATAAAAAATAATCGGCTCTTTTCTTTTTCATTTTTTTGGTTTCATTCGAAAATATATCAAGATGTAAATTCTACATGATATATTTGAAGGAATCTTTCTGAAAATATAAAATTTTTTGTTTTAATTCTCAATTATAGAAGTACTAAACTTCTCATAGTTTTAAATAATGTTTACTCAGAGAGTAGAATAAAACGAGACGTATACATTTGAAGTTGTGCTTAATCCACACATGTATATATGTACATATGCATACATATATACTCCTGTTGTATAGCTATTATTTAACTGTAACGTTATTTTAATCAATCTGTTAATATTACTATTAACAAAGCCTGTGTTTAAATTAATAATATCAGAAAATATTTCAATTCTATGATGAAAGACATTTAAAAAAAAATCAAAACAACTAATATGTATTACTTAAATGCATCTCCATAAATGCATAAAACTTATTTTTCAAAGATCCTTACAATAAGCAAAAGCTAATTAAAACTGTAAAGTAGATATAAAAAAAGAATGCATAGATAATGAGAATGTGCGCAGTAATTGTTCTGTATGCGAGGTAAAGCGAAGTGCGATATCGTTATCTTGTTGTAAAAGTTCTGGGATACAAATAGCGTACTAGTTATAACTCATATCTTGACATGAACAGTTTTTGCTTGTGCTATACGTCATCATACAACCTTTCTAAACATTTATCTCACAGCTCTACTCCATTTATGTGAATAACTTTCATTTTTCGATATATCTCCACTAACATAGAAAAGTAGTATTTTATCTTACGTTTTGGCATTGTTATGCCATATTAATAACTGCTGTTGAATAACAGTTTCTACAAGGTACATACATTTGTTCCTTTAGCATTAGAATGGATCAAATATAGCAATTCACAACCACAACAATAAAAATTTAATTTCATTAAAAAAATAAAAAAAATAAAAAAAAAAACTTAAAAGCTGACTTTATGTTAAAAACAAAAAATTATTAAAACATTTGTGTTTAATAAAATAAACATATCACGAATCAATGGCAAGCAAAAACATAAAATTGTTTAAAATAAGAATGTGAGTTCTATAAGTAATTTGTTGAATAAAAACATGTTTAAATTTAAATATTCAAGGAAATTTTCAACAAGACAGCTATAAACATAACGAATAAAGTTACGGCACATAGAAGAATATCCCTTTTTCTTTGTTGTAACAAGATTCTCACAGATACGTTTTGAAACAAAAGGATACTAATTTTTAAATATGACTGTAGAAAAAAAACTATAAAAACAAAGTAAATATCTATAAGAATCCTGTCCAAGTGACAGAGATAACTTTTGTATATACGTTATATATATATATTTGCTTTTATACAAGGGGTATTCGGCTACAGGTGAGTATCATTGCAGGGGATGGAAGCAGGGATGATATTTTTTCTTTTTACCAAAATGTTTATTAAGTTTTAGTTTTTGAATTATTAATGAAGAACACTGATTAATTAAAACAGGCGAACAAACTACTCGGCACATCGCGTCGATTCGTAGCCGACACTCCCGTGGCTGCTCCTGCGCACAGTGTTGTACACTACTTGCTCGGGTATTTTTCATTAATAATTCAAAAACTAAACCTTAACTAGCCTATTTTGATAAAGGAAAAAGTTGTTCATAATTATCCCAGCTCCCACTCCCTGCAAGGATATCCAACCGTACCTAAACACCCGGTATATAATCATTTTTAATGTATACGATTAATAAATAGTATTTTGTTTCTGGCACATTGTCAGCTCTCTGCAAAGAGAACAAGTGAGTTGACATAAATACAACCAACACCATAAAACAACACTTTTATGGAGTTTGAAAGTCAGGAAGAAACTTACTCTAAATTGTTCACTAAATAGTTGCTACCTTATATCAATTATCTGGGCAATGTAATAATATGAGTGAGCTGTGGATTGGCCCATGATGAAACTTGTCTTAAAAATAATTTCCTTATACATCACATTTCAATCTTCTTTTGTTCATCAATAATTGTGCAAGAAAACGGATTCTTAATCTATGATATATCCTACGGATCAATTCTTGCTTCTTGTTATTGTTTTCTTTCTGTTTTGTTCCTTCAAAACATTGCTATACAGTCATAAGATCATTGGAAGCCAGAAACGTTTTCCTCGAATAAGTGCTCCCACTTCCACCTTTGGTAACGCTGTTTCAGTCGTACAAATCAGTCGCAAAGAGTACGATTCACTACCGTCAAAAGCGTTCAAAGCAAAGTCAAGCTATGTTCTTGTACGTTTGTTGGATGTTTGTTCGTCAATGTTGATCGACAATCTATATACATAAAAAAAAACTTACACGAAATGTACTCAGTCTGTGCGTAAATTAATTGGCAAAAATTGGAAAACAAGCAATTTCCATCGACTTAATATTATTGATGACGACTAATCATCATGGATACCACTGCACCGGTAGCTCGAAGAACAGCCACAGCATTATTGTGATCGGATTTAGTAAAATCTATACCATCCACTTCCAAGATTTTGTCCCCTGGCCGAAGTGTACCTTGAGCTGGACCATCTGGATTGACTTTAGTTACAATGATTCCCTGAAGTGGAAAAAAAAACTATATATTAAAATCTACAAAGACTTGACACTCTATAAAAATAAAAACAAGTATTTACAGTTTCAGCGCCCGCCACCCCGCCAGCTATACTGAAACCGAGACCTGGATTCTTTTTCACCTGAACAGGTAACTGTAAATGTAATTATTGATTACAACAATAAATGAAAAATATCTTTTATAAATTTTTTCTATTAAAAGGAATAACGTACCACGTTAGCATTTTTATGCGGCCCAAACATCCATTTAAATCTTGGCTTTTTCTCTAAGTTCAATAACTCACTTGTCCCGGTAACTTTATACTTATCAATGTTACAATTCATCACCTCATTTTGAGACTTATTGTTACTCGACACTGGTGTACTTCGACCAGAGTTAGTTTCAGTGGATACGATTTTTAAATTTACCTCTTGATTATCCATATTTGAATTTATAACTAAATTCGAATTTGCTGCATTCACTGGTATCACGTTATCGCATAAAGTATTATTATTCGAGACATTTCCGTTGACTGTTTTCTTTGATCGATCTGAAAGCTTTGCTTGTATAGTGAGCGGACTTCGATATTTCTTCCCAGTTACCGGAGATGTAGGTATAGACGACACGTTCAATACTTTTGCGGATTCATATTCTTCAACAGAAGAGTTTGTACACTTATTGGATAGATCATTATTCGAAATAGAATTCGTAGATTCTAGATGCTTTGTTTTTAAAATAGGTATTCTACTCGGCTTCAATAATCGGTCCCCTTCAAAAGATTGTTCTAGTTCATGAGATTCTGTTTGGTCTTCAGTATTTGAAGAAGTTTTCCCATCAGTTACGGAAACACTTGCTGTGCCTGCATTGTTTAATGAAACTTGATCATTATATAGATGTGTGTGTTCCTCAGTTTTAAATGATTCTGTGCATCCATCGTAATTTTGTATTTGCATTTCCGGGAATGTCTTTGAATTTGATATGTTAATATCTGTTTGTGGAGGAGTGATCGTTGGCGAGTCTGACCGAGCTGTTGAAATAATAAAATTCAAATCTTCAAAAATTCAAATGTATGAATTGATGGCAATTAAAATGAACATTGACATACACTGGTTCAATTGTTGAAAAAGTGCTGCTTTCTTTGAAAATGCTGCAGCGATGTGATAAGGTGGAGGAACGGGTGGAACTTCGTTGATTTTTGGCGTTTGAATGTGTATTTGTTCAGCATTTTTAGTACCCACGGCAATAGGTACGTTTTTATAAGGATCTATGAATTTCTCCGATTCTACGATTTTTGCTGTGTTTGCTTTCGAATATTCATCTGGTTTCCAAGTAGAATTTACATAATCTGCTACTGTCGGTGGCTTGGAAAGATACTCGGACGTAGGATTACGAATATATTTTGCTTCTCGAATATCCGGGCTCTTTTCCTTTGCAAGTACTGTCTTATTTGCCTCGTCAGATGATTCTTCTGAAACAGACTGTTCTGTTCCAACATCTGTAGGACTATTAGTCTTGTACCCTTTTGATAGATGACGTTCGGTAGGTGAAAGTGAAACATGTGAACCCTAGAGAAAACAAACTTTAAAATTCAAATTATATTTTAAGAAAAGAAAAAGAATGTTATAATTCTCCTACAAAATTTTGTTTTTTACTAATTAATTTTTATACGTGTTTTTTATTAGCTTCTTCAAACTACTTTTGAACGTAAATTTTGTTGTTGCTTTGGAATCTAATAAATTGTCTTTTTCCCATAATTCTCTGATCAATACCTTATTAAATAAACTTTGTGAAAAACAGGTCCCGGTTTTTGAAGTAAGGTCCAGAGTAGTTGTAGCAATAATAGCTTCTTTGATCATAGTCTCCTGTTCTAAATGCATCTGTAATTTTCAATTGGCCATCTTCCTATATTTTCGATTTTGATCAAAATGTAAAAATTCACACAAAAATGAAAAAAAAAAAAAAAGAAAGGAACATCTGATAGCACTTGAAATTGTCCATATCTTTTAGTGCTATTTTTATATTTCACATTTTGTGATCTTTTTCATTTAGTCAAATGTAATGAGTGGTGAAAACAAGAATCGCATGATACTTACTCTTTGATCATGTGCAGACTGGTGATGTAAATTGCGGGCATGCCTAGCAAGGTTGCGCAGCTCTTTAGGATAGGGAGTCGGTGCTCGATGAAGTTGCCTAGGGATCTCAGATTCTACTTCGGCAGCAAAACATATTCTTTTTCCAGTACCAACGATTGAACTCGAAATTAGTCCTACAGCCGGTGTTATTTCTACATGCAATATAAAATAAAACTATTTTAATGATATATTTCTACGAGTTTTAAAATGTTTTAAAACAACATGAAATATATAATATATAATGATCCATTCAATCCGTTATACTGTACTTTACCCTTTCATTCCTCATCTTCTTGTTGATTATCCACTAGCAGCAATAACGTATCATGTGTTTTAGTCATTAATTAGTTATGATAATGTTTATGATAATATGTTAGATAATATTAAATAGACGAACAGGAATACTTACGTTCAAGTTCTTGCCGTGGTTTTTGCGGGAGCATGAAACAACTCAACACCATCATATCTTCTTCACAATTGAATTCCTGTTGTAGTGGCACTAATGGTTGACTTTGATTGTCGCTCAGCCATAATGCTTTTAAATTGCTCAGATTTAACATTGAAACGGGTAAAAATTTAATGCAATTGTTTACGAGATTTAGTACTCTTAATGAAGATAAATGACCTAATTCAGGCGGAACTCGAGTTAAATTGTTCGATCTTAATGAAAGTAACGATAATGCAGTACAACTTCCAATTTCTGGTGGAAGGCATCTCAAATAGTTATTGTCTGCATTCAAGCAATGTAGTTTTCTCAAAAGTCCTATTGATGATGGTAAATATTCAAGGAAATTCTTAGTAACTATAAGCTCCTCTAAGCTTGACATCTGTCCAATGTCATTTGGCAGTGCATTCAATTGATTGTCATCAACTTTAAGAGTCACAATTGTACGTAGATAGCAAAGTGAATCTGGTAACTGATAAATTTCGTTCGACGAAAGATGCATAATCGAAATATCTCTCCATCCTTCTACTTCTGATGGAATAACATGAATTGCATTCATTGTACAATCAAAATGATTCAAACGATAAAGCTGGTTAATATTAACGGGTATACGTCTAATATCATTACCATCTATCCATAATTCAGTGAGGTTGATGAGATCCCCCACAACTTCAGGCTAAAAGAATACAATCAATTTCATGTGTGTCAATACACCATGTGACTGTAACAAATATGAACTTACCAATTCAGTGAAATCATTATTACCAATATCAAGTCTTTGTAAATTTATTAAACGGCTCATACTCTTTGGCAATGTCATCATGTTATTCTCTCTAAGTTCTAACGTTCTCAAAGCTGAGAGTCTTCCGAAATTTGCTGGTAGATATTCTATGTATGCATCATTTATATATAATTCTCGTAATCCAACAATATGAGTAATAGCATCTGGGAAACGTTCAAAAGGATTAACACTGATATCTATAGAACGAAGGTTTTTACATTCTTTTATACTATCTGGCAATTCTTTAATACCTAAAAAGTTAAATACAGTGTTAATGAAATACAAACAAGTGTCTATAACAGAAATTTTCTACAAAAATAGTATAATAATCTTCTACATACTATTTTTACTGAGGTCTAAATATTCTAAATTAATTAACGATGCTATGGCGGGTGGTAACGTGGTGACTTCATTATCGCTAAGAGAAAGTACTCGCAATTCATGGCACTGAAACAGTGGCCTTGGAAGATCCTTTATCTACAGTGAAATATAAGAATGTTAAGGGTGTTAACAGATACATAGAACAGTTACCAATATTCATAATTACTCTGTTGGCATCCAGATACAGCTTTTCCAATGTCCTTTCATAAATGAACACATCAGGTGGTACATCGTAAAGATTACAGTGATTCAACTGTAACTCACAGATATCTTCTTCTTGTGCTCTCAAACATGCAGTGCACTGCCACCAAGCACTACCCATTTCATGAATAACTATAAAGAAATGTTTTAGTTAATTTTAGTCCAACTATCTTAGTTTCCTTAAATGTTAACAGTACATAAGTTTAATGTGATTCGCATAGTATCAATAGATAGTTGATAGTTACCTATAATACTTTAAGAATGATTCTTTAAGAACATCGATATATCTATGGTAAGCAAATAGATTTGTGAACTCGCTAAAGACTATCGTTCTATGGAATTTTTGAAAATCATTCGGACATTGAAACGTCAATGTTCCGTTTTTTTCGTGCTGGTTTCGTCAAAGTTATTTCTTGTCGCACCATCGCGGATACTACGATACGCGATGCAATACTGAGGGGTTCCTTCCTCAGACGGATAAGAATAATTCTCAAAACGTTTACGATGCTGTGATCTACGCTAAGTAGATGTCAAGAGATGTAGGTTATTCGATATTTCTCTTGAAGGATTTCCCTCATGAACATATCTCACTATTTACTCGTTACACATTTTCATTTCTTGCAGAATCAGTCCAACCGATGATAAATTGCCTCGATAGAGCGATAAAGGATCTTCCTCGAAGGTGTTATAATTTGACACATTTGAGAGAATCGAACGACAATATATGTCTAACTATGGTCTACTATTTATTGAAAAACCTTCGACGAATGAACTAATGGTCCGTTCATAATGCATCGATATTTCTCATTGTATGCAATAATTGTAGTTGAACATGCCTTTTTATTCAATTGTTTGTGTTATACATTTCATGTGTGTTCTTATGTTTTAAAGATATTAATATATTATTGTATTTAAAACTATTAATTTCATACATTTTAGGTATTTTTCTGCGGTATAGTTGTTTGTCCTTTCTATACGTTATACCTCCATTTGGCGGGATTTACTCAACACCTGATATAAACGTAAATTCTGTTGAATTTGTGTTCTTTTTTATTAAATATCGTGCTTACTTATAGCATATATAATATTTATAAAGTGAATTTATATTCATTGTTTATCGTATAAGTTTAAACGTTTTCTTATTTTCTTATTAAACATGGAAGATGATAATAATACAAAAGTGAATATTTCCAAAGATACAAATTCCGTTACAGGTAAAAATTTATTTTCTATAACAATAAAATGTTGTCATAAATTAATTCATAACAGTATTTCTATTTCGTTATGTTTTAATGTAATTAAAAATAATACAATTAAATATAATTAAATAAAAATCATACATATATCAATTATTGTTTTATTAAAAAATAAGTTTGGAATTTTCTATGTGCATTCATGTTTTTATTATTGCTTATGAATAGACAATTCAGGAAGTATAGCAAACAAAGAGGTATTGCAAACAGACGAATCTCCAGAGGAAAATATCCCAATAGGAAGAAAAAGAACACGTCAAGATGACTTACGTGAAAGTAAACAATTAGCAGAAGAAGATTACAATCGTGAATTAGTTGAACAGCAGTACAAAAGATTAATGCATTTGTTAAATAGAAGTAAGTTTTATGCTTCATACATTGTTGAGAAGATTAACAATAACTCTGAGAAAGAGCCTTCTAAAACCACTAAAAAAGGTCCCAAGAGAATAGCTTCTGGAGATGAAAATATACCACCTTCAGAAAATATGAGAAAGAATACTAACAGTACTGATATACGAAATTATATATCTAAAGATGTAAGTTCATTATCATTATGTGCTTTACATTTATTATTATCATTCTTTGTTATTAATCCGCATAAGGTTGTTACAGGTAAAGAATAAAATAATTTCTGAAAAAGATAAATTGAATTTAGATGAAAAAAATATTGAAACTGAGTCAATCAATAATAGTGGAAAGAAGACAAAAGATGTTGTTGATAACAATACTCTTCAAATATCAAAATATTTCAATGGAGAATTACGAGATTATCAAAAAGAAGGATTTCACTGGCTAAAAGTTCTTTATGAAAATGGGATAAATGGAATTTTGGCTGATGAAATGGGGCTAGGAAAGACAATTCAAGTAATAGCTTTGCTCTGTCATCTCATTGAAAAACAACAGAGTGGTCCTTATTTAATCATAACTCCTCTTTCAACTATACCAAATTGGAAAATTGAATTTGAAAGATTTGCACCAAAATTACCTGTCATTATATTTCATGGAACACGAGATGAAAGAGCCTTATTGCAAAGAGAAATTAATCAGAAGTACAAATTTTCAGAAACGTTCAACACGCAACCAATTGTGCTTACTACTTTTGAAATACCAATACATGAAAAACATTTTCTTCGGTCTCAACATTGGAGATACATAATAATTGATGAAGGACATAGAATTAAAAATCACAACTGTCTCCTTATTAAGTAAGTTCAATAAAATTGTAAAATATATACTATATTATGCCTTAAATATGCCTAATTATTATTAATTTTATTCCCATTTTCAATACAGGATTCTGAAAAATTGCAAATCTATGAATCGGCTATTGTTAACAGGCACACCATTACAAAACAATTTAGCAGAATTATGGTCGCTATTAAATTTCTTATTACCAGAAATTTTTAACGATTTAGCTGTGTTTGAATCATGGTTTGATGCAAAAGAATTTCAGGGAGACGAAGGGACAAAAAAATTTTTGCAATTAGAAAAAGAAAAACATGTATTAGCAACATTGCGTGAAATATTACAACCATTTATGTTGAGACGTGAAAAATCAGATGTTTGTATAGATATTCCACCAAAGAAGGAAATAATCATTTACGCTCCATTTACGAAACTCCAACATAATTTATATAAAGCGGTTTTAAGCCGTGATATATACGCATTATGTAAAGTTGAAGAGCCTCCACTTATATATATAGAAGATGATAAGAGACCTAAAAGAAGATGCGTTTTAAAAAATGTATCAAATAATGTAAATCGACATTTTAAAAAAGAAGTATCGCCAAGTTCGTTTCACGAAAGTAATGAAAGTGTAGATGATGACGGTGGGAAGCGATCAAAATCTGTACAAAATTTGTCAATATGGAAACACTTTACAAATGTTACAGAACATAATCAAAACTTCTTGCTTAACTTGACTTATCGTAATAGGTGTAAGTTATCGTTTTTTCTTTTCTTTTTTATTTGTTTTGTAAAAAGGAAGTAACATCAAATATCTTGTTATATTTGTCTTTGCTGGTGTTTCAGTGATGATGTATAAGAAAATTGTAAATCATCCGTATTTGGTTTATTATCCACTAAATCCAAATGGTTCACCAAAAATAGATGAGGATATAGTTAAATCATCTGGTAAACTTATGATATTAGATAAAATGCTTGCAAAATTAAAGGCTGAAGGGCATAAAGTATTATTGTTTTCTACCATGGTGGTAATGTTAGATCTGATAGAAGATTATCTTTCATTGCGTAATTATAAATTTGTCAGGCTAGATGGTAACGTTTCGCTCGAAAAGAGACAAGAAAACATACAAAAGTTTAATACAGACCCTGAAGTGTTTGTGTTTCTTATAACTACAAGAGCTGGTGGTGTTGGATTAAATCTTGTTGGAGCTGATACTGTTGTTATATACGATAGCGATTGGGTATATTATTTTATATATATGTATGTTTCATAATTATTAAGAATGTAAAATAATTAAATACATTTTTAGAATCCTCAAATGGACATACAAGCCATGGCGCGATGCCATAGAATAGGTCAAACAAAACCAGTAGTCATATATAAATTGTGTAGCAAAGGAACAATCGATGAAGCGATTATACATCGTGCAGGAGCAAAGCGTTTTCTAGAGAAAATGGTTATTTCCAAAAAAAGTGGTACAGTTAACATAAACAGTAAAGAGACATTAATGGAATTACAGAGGCTTTTAGAATCAAAAGAAATCGAAGTAGATGAATCTCGAAATGAAGGTAAATCATTCAAATAGAGTGTTTTGCATTTTATGATTTTTTATGATTTTAACACAAGTTCTATGTCATTAAAATAATTCATTTTTAACACAGTTTTCGCGGAAGAAGAACTTAACAAATTGCTAGATAGAAGTGATCTATACTCAAATAAAAAAGAATCTTAACGAAAAAATTAAAAAAAAAAAAAAAGAAAATTTAAAAAGTATTCTGTTAGTTGTATAAGTATTCTTAATAAGTTATTATACAATATTTATTTTTATATTCTTCATTGTGTCAGTATTAAGGTTTATTTAATTCTGTGGTAAAATATAAGCAAAGATCGAAAATTATTCTACATATGTAATAAGTATTTATTAGGTGTTTATATAATAATTGTAAAAATATGGTTATTTTTTATGAATGATTTCTATGAACGAAATCGTTAATAAATACTATGACAAATTTTTTAATCAGTCAAATAGAAAGAAAATTTGATTAGAGGAGACGTTACATGCTGAGCGTGAAAACTAAGCGTGAAAAGAAGCAACACAGAAAATAAACGAGGGACGAAAAAGATATTAAAAAGAATGTTACTTACGAGGGGATAATATAAGATGTTATACATCGAAATTTAGTTTTAATTATAAAAAATATTAATAAAAAAATGTAAAACAAAACATTTAATTGAAATTATTTTAATGCCATGTACTTATAATTTGTTTGATTTCATACGTAGAAAATACTTTCCTGTCACATTTTTGCCTTTGTAACTCTGATTCAATTGATCACGAAATTCTGCCTCCAATCTCATGTAAGTTCCTCCTATTATAATAACATTATCTATGATAAAAATTATATACATTTATTAAAACATAACATTTGTAATACATACCATTTAATTGTTTTTTTATTCGATTGTGTTTGTTAGATGATTTTAATAATGAAGAAGAATCGGCAGATACTCTTTTTGTCAATAATGCTATCATTTGTGATGTTGCTCCTTCCTCAAAATCTCTCTGATTATCTTGATTGTGTCTTATATTTAAATCGCTATTCCAAAATCGATTGGTGTTTCTAAAATTGTTTGCGTTAGTATCGAATAATTCAATTTTTCAAAATAGTAGTAAAATTATATAAATTTCTCAAATGCTTATTACCTCCATAAGTTTTGGTTTTTTAACTTTTTCTTAATCTTATTTTTTGGTTTTGAGAAAGACCGTGCTTCAGATTCTTCGCTACAACATGATTCTTCATCGATACTACTATCTTCATAAGGTGTTATACCATCATCTATCTCACTATCTGAGATCGAAGAAGAAGTATCAGTTGTAACAGAAACTTGTTGACGAATTTTTTGTAATGGTTTTTGTATATCCTGTACATGAGAGAAACGTCGGAATCCTGATCCGCTCCAGATTTTTCCTAAAATTAAAATCATTTAAATAAGACAAATACTTAGGAGTGTTAAAAAAATCCTAATTTACCTAAAAGTCCAAGTTTTTGTCGTTGTGGTGCAAGTTCTATGCCAACCCACCACATTACATCTTTACACATTAATTTTCCTGGTTGAAGAGATAAATCACGAGCTACTAATCGGGTAATTTTTTCCGGAAAAAATAACTGTGGTGGTTCCATAGCTATTACTTCTTTATACACTGTAAATATGTTTAATATATTTACATCCCTTTGCGTCCTGACATCTGGAGCATGTTCCTAAATAAAAAATAAATGCTAAATAAAAAATTTGACAAACGCAACATTTCATTACCATTTCTCAAACCATGAAAATTATATAAAAATGAATATTATTTCTAAATAAAAGATGTAATTATACTTACAAATACATACCCTGTACGTGCATCCTTCATAATTTGGTAATACTTCAAATCTATATGCTCGTTGGCTACAACATGGATATCTGCCTAAAGGGAATGGCATAGGTCGTTGCTGTTCGTTAATAAAAAATTGTGAAAATTCTGCATGATAACAGCACCAATCAAACTGATGTATTGGAAAATATATATTACATTGTGTACAAAACAGGAAATGGCAATCACCCCATAATCTCCAATAAACTTTACGCCATGAACGTAATTCCGTCCGAAGAGTAATAATATAATTATTTAATGACCATGTTAAATCCCTAAATAACATAGATTCAATTATATCTCAAAAAGTCAGAATTTTACATTTAAATATCATTATCATACCTTACATGATTACTAGAAATATTTCCATGAGTATCAATTTTCATAGCGCTTGGAATACATGGTACACAATTAGAAACTGATTGAATAATATTTTTACCACATTTGATACATTTAAATAATGTAGCTAAGGAACTGTAGTGCCCTTTTTTATTATCTGGCATCATTTCAGCTAGAGACATAATTAACTTACAAAACAACTTACTTTGAATTTTATCTTTTTTATCTTTTAATCCTTCTACTTCTTCATTTGTAAATTGTTCTACTAATCTAAAAGAAAATTATCAATATGTATTGTTATGAAAACTGAAAGTTATTTAATAAATGATTACCTTGTCAAAAGATTATCATCTAAACTAGATAAAACTGTTGATGTTTTTAGTATATCAGACATGTTATCATGGCAGAACTGTAAACAATGCTCTAAAAGTGGTTCCATTTGTAAAAATGATGCAGACACCATTATTGGAATAACATTACTAGTTTCTAAAACTGGCCATTCTGACTTTTTTATAATGTCCTTTTTAACCCATCTCATTAACCAGTCAAAAATCGTAATGTCACAATGTACAGATATATCTATCTCTTCCAATTTTTGACCTGCCGTTACATCAGCAAAATAATGCATTTTTTGTATGAGAAGTTTCTGGGGACAGTGAAAATTTTTTTTAATATTTTTCTCTTCATCATGGACATGAATTTCCACTTCATTTCTGTATAGAATAAACAACTATTACTTCTATTAAAAAATTATTATTAAAAATATTGATCACATTTTGAATTATCCTTAATTTTCAATGTACTTACTCTATTAATTTCTTGTTCTGTTTACTTTTATCTTTCTCCTTATCTTTTTGTGTTATATTTGTAATTGCCCTTGCTTCAATATTATTACTTAATGAATTACTTCTTCTCACTTCAGTATTTGTGATAGATTTTTTTATTATAGGCTGTGATACAACTGGTTTTGGAATCATATATGGTAATACTGAATCCAATAAACCTTCATGTAAAACATCGCTTAAAGTTGTCTTCATTAATGTTACTAAAATATTTTCTGTTGTATCTATAGATTTTGTAATTGTTGCATTTTCTATACACAATGGATTTTGTGCAGTTTGATTGCACTTCTCAAAACTAGTTGTTGAATTTTGATTGCAAGTATACGCTTGTTCATTTGAAGATGCAATACAATGCATAGAATTTTTAACATTAATATCATATGTTTCAAATAAGATTTCTTCTATTACATTAGGATTTTTATTTTTCTGCATGACATTACTATTAGTATATTTTTCATCTGTCACATAATTTGGTGTTTCAAACCATAAATTAATTTTTGATAACTTGCTCCAATCAAGTTTGTTCTGTGCAATTAATATTGCAGTTATACTTTCACAATTATCATTTACTTGATAAGCAACTTTCATAAATTCAAAAAACATTCCAATTGTTAACTTTGAATGTTTATAATCTTGAAATTTATGAAGTATCTCTGATAAATCTGAAGCACATTCTTTTTGTTATTTTATTAGTTATTTATAAGAATAACATAATAGATATATGGAACATTAACATTTGTTTTTAATCAAAAAAAGATATAAACATTACATGAGATCTACCATAAATAAATTATGTAACAAAAATTGCAATAAAATATAAAGAAATAAATGTGAAGGTATGTACTACATATCAAATATTGCAATCTGAAGTTGTGCAATGTAACAATTTATTAAATTGCAAATACCTTCTTTGGTTGTTGAAGCACATATTCCAAATAACTTACGCTCTTTTTTTAAAGCATCATCATCAGTTTCATTTATTTCCATTTTTATTTTTTTTATTTTTTCTTCAATTGAAGCACCCCATTCAATTAAACTGACAGTAAATAGTTACAAGACTGATACCGCTTTTATTCATCTTGTAATTTTAAAATAAATGTCTTTGATAATTTCGATAAAACTTAGAACTGAATAACATCATCATAAATTCAACCATGTCATTCATGTTTGAGAACTACGATTTTGTTTATTTTTCACTTGCAAAAGATTATTTTTGCGATTATTAGATTAATTAGGAAATTCTAGATTTAAATTTTTTCTACGTACTCGAGGTCGTAAAATCATTTGGTGGCCTCAAAAAGCCCAAAAGTTCCTTATTTTGTCAAAAAAGGGAATTTTCTATTTTGTTAGTTCTTAAGTTCCCGCCAGGTGGCGCTGTTTGTACTGTTTTCGGCGGGAAAAGATTTTTCGTAAAAACATGTTAAAATTAAGTTTTTACAATATCTCCTGTTTAGCAACTTACACAAATGACACAAATTAAACAATTACAACACTTTAATTTACAATCTAAACTCCAAAAAAAATAAGACAATGACATTACCGACAAAGATTAATTGTAAGAGCGATGATTCATTTATTTAAAATAAGACAAATAATATTTAATTCATTTTTAGAGTTAAAATTAATAATGAAATATTATTTTATTTATCTATTAGTATCGTTGTAAACGAATTTATATTTGGAAAAGAGATCTTTAATGAATCACACACTGTACAACAGTAACAATAAATTTTGATGAAACATAATCGGAACTGAATTATGTACTATTTATATTTGATTGATAATATTAAAAGAAAATATATATTCCAAGTACGATATAGGTTGAAATTTGTAACAGTTACATATCAAAATGATGAAAAAGCTGAAATTAATTAATTCTTATACAGGAAATGATATAAAAAAACATGTTCGTATAAGGGTAATACAAAATAGCAATGTAAATATTTTTGTACATTTGTCCTTAAAAAACAAACATAAGAAATACAAATGTGATGTTATGTGATTTATGAGATCAGTCTACATATTTTACTGAAAGTAATGTCCTTTTGTATTTCGTACAATTTACAGGTATCTTAATAAATCTAACAAATAGATCTTATTTTATTATACACAATTAAAAGCACATTTTATGCATTAATAACGAATGTCAACGCGCGTGTCTCACAATCGAAAAACAATACATACATACAAATCATTGCGCACATAACCGTGTATAAATCTACGTATGTGCGTCGTCGTGTACCAAATATTAACATTTGTGTATTTACATAATAGAAAAGGCATAGCCCTAATTATTATTATTTTATTGTTTATATTCTTTGCAACTGCCTCAAAGATCTAATAAAATGTGTTTAGTTTCAATATTTTAACGAATTCACAAGAAGTCGTTTAAAAACATTGAAACATTTTGTTTTACAATAATTAATACTTCTTAAAAATTTTATTACGATTCAATTGCAAAAGAAATAGTTTTAACTATTTACCCCTTTATTCCAACGCCACGTAATTTTGTGTACATATAATTATAGGAAATTAAACGTACTTTTCTTGGCATTAACGTGACTTATAGATATTTAAATCAGAGACCTATATACAAATACGTATCATCAAAAATGATGGAAAATTATTCGAAACAAAGTTTACTATAAGCGTTTCCATATTACAATTTATAAATAATCAAAAATAGAGAATCCATTTTTATTGCGTGTTCTAAAGTCACGCTAAGCCTGTTTTATATGTAACACGTGTTATGTATATAAAATCATGTTAAAAAATTTTATTCTGGATCGCTTTGAAGTGTCTCACCATTGGTTAGAACTAACGCATCGTCGTCGGCTTCGTTGTAATCGAGAGAAAGGATGCTCTCTCTTCTTTTTTTCTTGTGTGTCCTTTCATCATCACTACCCGGTGCACTTTTGTCCCTTTTGGTCCTATCCCTACCCCTCGTTGTTCTAGTTAGCACCTCTTCCCCATTAGTTTTACTGTTACTTCTATTATGACTTTTACTCCTTAATATCCTTTTATTATTTCGATTTTCCTCGTGTTCTTCTTCCCTATCACTTAATTCCTCATTTTCAACTTTTATAATCAAAGCAGCCGAATCACTTGAGCTTTCATCATTATGATCTGCTTGATTAGGTTTCCGTTCTGTTCTTTCGGTATTTGAGAACTCGCACTGCGGTGATCGTTGCGACGATAACGGTGGAGTCCTAGCACCTTTGCACATATCACTATCTTCCATCGATTTCGAAGTCTTTGTTTCCGAAATTGAGTTCTCCTCTGACTCCTCTTTTTTAATTGGCGGTGTGTGAGGAGATAAGCCGTTTGTTAAATTATTTTCATTCGAATTTGCTTTCAATGCTGCATTCTCTTGTTGTAATAACGTAACCGACTCGCGAGCTTTACGCAGTTCCTGCTGTAAGAAATAAATTGTGCTCTGCATTCCTTCTACATCCTCGTCCAAGTCTTGCAAAAATTCATCTAATTCTGTAAAGAAGGTAATGGAAGAAAAATATTAACTGATCTTATTTCATAATATAAATAGGAATAAAAAACAAAACCACAGGAATGCAAAATAATGATACCTGATTGCGATTTCTTCATTTCCTCGCTAAAACTTCTTTGAAGTGCGAGATCTCCTTCTAATTTAGCAATTCGTCCACTAGCGATCATACGACCTAGTTCTTCATTTTCTTGGTATAACAATCTACATTTCGCCATTAGTCTCTTACCGGTATTACTATAAATAAATGCAATTATACATTCAAAGATGAGTATCTACAATTTATTTTTATTATAAGACAAATTATTATCTACCTGTCTGGTGTAAACTTCCACGCGCTAAGTTCATTTTGTGTGTCTTCTAACTTGGCTTTAGTAGTGACCAGCTCCTGTCTTAATTTTTGTATTAAAATATTAACAGCTGGATCTAACAAAGCTGATCTTAATGCGGCAGTGGACGGAGCATGAGCAGCTTTCATTTCGGCAATCTGATTCTAAAATAAACGAAAGTTACACGTTTATGTTAGAAACTTTTTTCATCATTTTAACAGCTTGCTAATTAAAAACAAATGAAAGATTCACGTACAATATATTCTTGTAATTCTTGTTCTTTAGAAGCAAGTCTTCTCACTAATATCTTCTCTCTGTGAGATGCTTCTGCATGTTGCTGCCTATATTTATTTTCGGATTCTCTCAATGATGCTAGCTCACCTATAAAGAAAAATTATTTCATTTCCTCTTTTAGTTGTAACTTCATTGTTTAAAGCTGTCTATGTGCTTCGTTATTATTATTATTTTATGCACATTTTTATTGGCTTGGAAAAATATTTTTAGATACCTTTTCATTTATGCACAATATAAACTAGAAGATAATGTAACGAAACACAACTTTAAGTTCTATCAACATATACATATAATTGTAATTCAATAATTATTATTACCACCTAATTTTTCTTAAAAAGATCACTTATTTCAGAACATCAAGTTTTCATGATATACAACTATACAAATTTTTGAGACACATAGAAAGCTTAAAACCTTAAAATATATATATATATATGTACATGTAGTATAATGGTACAGAATATTCTGTACTCTTTTCTTTATACATCATAATAGTATATTTTTGGTGAAATAAAGCATAGTGGTGAAAGTCTACTACATACTGTTTTGCCCTAAGTGTGCATAAACAAAATATGTTTTTATATGTATGTGACATTGACTGCCTGACAATTGACATTTTTAATTAACGCATACTTTGAATTTGAAGTTGTTGCATCGTGCCATTTGTGAGATTCTCTGTGCTTCCACCGAGACCAAGAGTAGACGTTATTTTTCTTCCATGAGAATAGACAGACTACTTGTTGCTGACACAGATGCTGTCACAAGATGACCTCCTGGCCTTATTCAACCGGGTTTGTATTTTTCAGACTGGGTATTTGGACATCGGGAAATTTTGGTGCAGGTACAAATGCATGCATGAATTGTGTTCATAATGGGAATAAACAGGGATGGATGTCTAGGAACATAATTAAAAGTTATTGAGTTTTATCAGACATATCTAAATATAAAGTAATATTAAAGATATGTAGACTGGGATCAGAATGATTAGGATTGGGAAAAGCAGCTGGAATTTCTGATTGTAACTGCATCAATTAAAGGTTTTCGTACTTCACCAAGACTTAGGTCACGCACCCCTGGCACAGTGTTTTGTGGGCCAAAGGATGACATAGGGCCCCTGATTTTACTCTTCTAAGCTGTATATTCAGAGCCAGCAAGGATGTTGTATTTCATTCAATCCTCACAAAGCGGAAACTTGATATCCAATGTACACACAAACACACACGCACTGTTTTGCTTCTGGCAGTGCGATTTACCACACTGTAGAATGATACGTGGCACACTGCACAGTCACTTACAAGCTCATATTAGAAGTAAGCTGTGTGTGTTTTTACAGTGAAAGAAATGATTCATAGTGAACACATTCAAGGAACCTTGTCATCTCTTCTTGTCACACAATATCACTTGTTTCTTTCAATATGCACTTTGCTTTAAGCATTAAGTGATTCTCAGTATCAAGAGTAGGGCAACATAACACAGGATGATAGAATTATATTGCATAATATATCATAGATTCTCTTGAATATGTGGCATATATGACCGTCACATCACTTCTGCTCACCGAAAAGATTTCAAACACTGTACATATTGGTGTTAATTTAATTACCCGCACTACACATCACAAATGTAGTTTTCGAAATTATTACAATATTACTATATCACTAGCCTGTATCTAAAAAATCTATTGCCAAATAGATCCATTCAATACTTCTATTGATACATCAATTTTCTACAATTGCAGTTCGCTTATCAATGTCATAAAAAAAAGGTTTTAAGGGTTTCACCTGTTATCATGTTATTTTACTTATTTCAAGATTTTTCAATCTTAAGACTTATAAAAAAACTTAGAATTATTATTAACCTAAACACTTTGGTAATAAAACGCTTGGTCCCTAATCTTAATGTCCCTATAAGAGTCTTGTCTCATACAAGAGACCGTTGTGTTCTGGCATTCATAAATTCGTTTAAGAAATGTGGTGAGTAAGGTGGTCTCACTCATGTGATCTCAGTACCTTCCTGGGCTGCCGCCTGGGCCTCTAGACACTCCACATACAAGTCCTGTTCATGCCACTTGGATGCTAGCTCGTCCTTTGTCATGCTCTCCAACTGTTGCTGTGTTAGCTTCATACGCCTTGGTTGCCTAGGAGAAGGAGGACTGCTTGGTTTTCCTCCTGCACTGCTGTTCTGTGGACTCCTTGGTGAAGACGGACCAGCCGACTTAACGTCAGTACACTCCTCTGCCATTTTATGGTAGATACTATTAAAACCACACCCTGGGTTTTAAGTAAAATTTGATGCTTGTCTTCTTTAGCTGCTTAACTGCAAGGGGTATGTTGATATGTTGCCAGTGTTAGCACACATTTGTCTGTAAATATAAAAATATTATTTTAGTATAATATTTCTTACAATTATATTATTGTAAAAAATAAATGATTCAAATGTATATGTTGGTATATAAGTTATCTGTTCATCACTAATGGTAAATAATGTGTAATCATATTTATGTACTTCTTAAATTACACTCATTTATTTTACACTGATATATTTCATTTGAATAACTCTTACGTGCATTATATACTGTTATTTTTAAATCCAATAGTGCAGTTATATCGTAGAAGAATGGAATACTATCGTGTACGATTTGTTTGTCTTCGTAGGCTACCACTTGTCACGAAATGGAGTAAAACTTGTTCAGGGCACAAATTCAGACCCGGCTTTCAGAACATACCGCGTGATTGAAGATGGTCACGTGGCTCATTTAATGTTTTATTGCGACATGCAGGGTAGAAAATGTAGAATCCAGTTATCTATAGTCGTAGAGAACATTGACGCCATTATGTCGACATGTCTGCCGTGAACAAGAATTTCGCGGTATAAGATTAAAATTTTTTCTTCTCTTATTTATGTCCATACACATACGTCTATACATAATACACTCCTATATAAATTATTAACTAATTTTCAAAAATTTATTTGAAAAATACAATCATGTTCATAGAACTATCCAGATGTTCAATTTAAGTTTTAACAATTATGATAGTCTACTATTGTAAAGTCATTTACTATAATCTAACAATGTACATATAAGTAATACCACTTCTGTTCATTTCACATACCTCGTTTCGTGACACGCCTCTCATTCCATTAAGAAAAGTTTATTATCCAATATTTAATTCAACTTGGACGATGAAATACGACACCGTATGTGTGTATACATACAAATTTACACATATATATATATATAAATATATATATATATTTATATATATGATATATATATACTCAAATGTAATTTTGTAGTCTCTTATAAGCAAGTAGAAATCTTCGTTAGAAGGTTTCACAATTGATCACTCGGCGAAGCGAATAAACGTTATGTATCGTGTTAGTCTCAATGTCCCGCGCATTCCAAATACAATATCAATACGCGCCCACGATACACGTATCGTGTAATTTTCTAAAAATCACACTACTATAGCCTAACACTTTAATATAACTAATCACGAACAATGATTACCGCTGACCCCAACATTCAGAATGGCTAAAGAAACGAATATCAGCGCATGCTCCGATCACGATTGTCCAACTACTGTTGGTATGGTAGTATGTATGTACATACGCTAAAAGCGTACAGTTGCAACATTTTTTTATATATATTCTAAGGAAAATGATTTTATATAGGCCATATATTCTTCACTAAAATATAAAATATTCTTAAAAAATATTCTTTTGTTTCATTTGACAGACCAAATTTTAAACTTCTCCTTTCAAGGTTTACCCTGCAACTGCAATTGCTGGCAGTCAAGGGATGTGAAAAAAATAAATGTTGATAATTTTGAAAATTTCAATTATTTCGTTACTTGATTCTAATTGTAAATATATATTATTGTTTAAATAATATATATGGTAGAAATAAATGTTTATTACTGTTACCATCTATATATACAATTGCTGATTGTGTTAGTAGCACTCATACAGTGACTGCTCTTGTAATCTCAAATATACCCGTGCTTGTTCTAATAACTAGCCTTACTGATAAGTTTGAATTTTTAAATAGGCTCTAAACAAAACGTGATTCCACTTCTGTCTAAATTTTCTACTTTATTCACAATCCAGAATCTTCTGGTGAAGAATATATGTGTATATATATACGGAATATATACTTCCTTAACACATTTTGGTCTTTTCAAAGATTCAATATAAAGTATTGCATTTAAAAAAACTATATCATATGCACAGAAATAATAGTGATCAGTATTCAGTTTGGGTATAAAAAGTGTTTAATGTGCAATACGTATTTATATTAGAATTTTATTGAAATGAGATCTATATTCTGAGTTTTATCAGTGTACTTTATGTATTCATTTTCCTAATACAAAATGTTAGATACTAGAACGTTTTCGTATAAGAAATATTTAGTTGAAGCTGGTATAGCACTAGTATGTGTGTTTATATTTTGTGAATATTTGGTATATTATTTTGTGCTTATTCAGGTACACTATATTGGTATCTTATATGAATAAGTATGAAATTACAAGGTTTTTAAATGATTACTTTTTAAACGTTGCAGTGTGCATGGCCTATGTTGGATCCACATAAAGTTGATGTTACAATTACTTCAACAAAGTCAGATGAAATTCCTGTACATGCAATGTTTTTAGCAGACACTCATTTATTAGGTTCTAAGAATGGACATTGGTTTGATAAATTAAAAAGGTTTGTATGTATTGGGTAATAAAGTTTCAAATTTCATTTCTTCCTATTAAAATAGATATTCTATGTTTGTTTAGAGAATGGCAAATGTATAGAGCATTTCAAACTATGGTTACAATTCATAAACCAGATATCATTTTTATATTAGGTATGTAATGTAAATATAATATGCAGATTTTTAATTCTAAATAATTACTAATAACAATAATAATGTATTCTAATTGTAATATAATAGGTGATTTATTTGATGAAGGACAATGGAGCAGTTCCACAGAATTTTATCAGTATATAGAAAGATTTCATTCATTATTTTCAGTACCTAAAAACACCTATCTTTATGTTGTTGCTGGAAATCATGACATTGGATTTCATTATGGTATTATAAAGTAATAGATATTTTTGTAATTGATAAATTGAAATTTCTCATGAAAACAATACTTATTTAGCAATTACACCATACTTGAATCAACGATTTGTAAATGGTTTAAAATCACCAAGTGTAAAAAGAATTAGTATAAGGGGAAATCACTTTGTTTTAATTAATAGTATGGCACTAGAAGGGGATGGATGTTTTTTGTGTCGTCCTACAGAAATTGCATTAAACAAAATTGCTGGTAAGTCAGGTTTCTATTGATATAAAAATTATAAGAATCAGAGCTTGCAAATGAATAAATGAAATTTTTTAGCACACTTGAAATGTGCAAAAGGTTTGGGAAATAATTGTGACAATGATAATACAATTTCAAGATATAGTAGACCAATTATTTTACAGGTCAGTAAATAATTGTGTTTTATAAGTATAGAGAAATAACAGTACAATTATATAATATTTGAATTGTAATTATAGCACTATCCAATGTATAGAGAATCCGATGAAGTCTGTAATGAACTTGATGAAGCACCAGAAGAAGTAAAAAGTATTAAGTTTAGAGAAAGATGGGAGTGTTTGTCAAAAGAAGCATCTGAACAAGTACATAATATAATTTGTAAGAATTTTTGTATAATGAAAATTATAAATGTTTATAAAAATATATCTTCATTTGTAGTTATTAGATATATTGAATCCAAGATTGATTATTAATGGACACACTCACCATGGTTGTAGAAGAATGCACAGACAGGATACAATGGAATTCACGATACCATCATTTAGTTGGCGTAACAAAGATAATCCTTCGCTCTTACTAGTAAGTTGTAAATTAACAACGTCCATTTTACTGTTATCGTGTGTATATTTAAAATAATACTTATATTTCAGGGTGTATTTACTCCCAATAATTATTCTGTATCAAAATGTTATATGCCCATGGAATCTACCGAAATTAAAATTTATATCATCAGTATAGTATGCCTTTTTATATATTTTATTATAAAATGCAAAATAAGACAAAGTCGATATTATTTCCTGAAATTTCACTGAAAATATTTAAGTAGTATATAGAAATAGAAATCCTAAATTATTGACAGATCTGTATGTATATATATAATATAACAGTTTAAATTTCTTTTGTAGAACATTATTAATAATATACATATTATTTACAGTATCCGTAATACATGTAAAATACTTATATTGTATATTATTATCCGACAACCAACATCAAATTTAGAACACTTTGTTACTTGTTTTACATATATCAGTTTTCTTTGCATTATTCTGTAAACTTTCGTTCTATTAAAACAAAAGATCGTGTTTACAAATACATGTAAAATATTACTACATTACATATTTACTAAATACTAATTAAAGTACAGAGGTTCATATGTATATCAAAAATCAGTTATTATATATAAATCATAAGTATTTCACGTGAAAAAATATTGTACAAATCAGGAATAAAGTTTGTATCTAAATTTATCGAAGTTTAAGTAATGTAAATACTTTTATATTATTGACCGTAATTACATTATTCGTAGTTAATGCACATACATCTATCAACAAACTTGTAGATACAACTTGAAAAGCTGCTGTTTTTATTGTAATAGAACAGTAAATAATTATAAACGAATATTATTAACTATAATACTTGGCACTGACTATAATTAATATTACATTTATCAGTATTTTACATATTTTATTATTAAAAAAAAGATGTAATATTAATATAGACAATGCATATTATTTTTTATGTATAAACTTTTTTCTCTTATTTATACGAGTAGTACTCTGTTTTATAAGTACTTTTACCATAATGAAGTATTGATTTAAAATCTAATAAAAAGTTAAAAATAAAAATCGTGTATTAAATAAGATTGAATAACATACACTATTATGTCAAATCACTATTTATGTTCATTTCTTGGTATAAAGTTTTATACATTTGTTTTTATAAATAGAACAACTTTACATATAATATTTAGAAAGAACATTTAGTAACTGTACTCACGTGTAATCATATTGAATCACCTTACTAAAACTGAAAGCAAACTATTTTTGGTTTTATATATTTAATTTAAAAAAATTAAATATTCTTTGTAACTTTGGAAAAAAAAAAAAAATGTTATTCTCTTTTATTGGAGAATATCATTGACGCTGTCAATGAGATAATTTTGACTAGTCTATTTTCACAGCAGCATATATCTTTCGAATAAACGCGTATGCCGCAAAAAATCCTATTGTGCCTGTTAATAACCAAAATGTGAGCACCATTAATGTTGTATAACCAAAATACAAAAGTGTTGGAATAAGTTCCGTGATTTCTAGTTTTGTCATAAAGTAAAAAATTGAATAGGCTAAGACGTATACAGCTGATCCTCCGCTAACGATAAAGCTCCTCCACCACCATCGGTAATCCTAATAATAAATATAAATTTATATTTTATGAAAGAATCTATAAATAAAAAGACCATATAATACTTACTTCTCCGCATAACTGAAAATAGACCATAACTATGGATATTTGAGAACAAGAGATGACAAGAATACAGAAGACAAGAAACAAAAATCCAAAAAGGTAGTAAAATTGATTTTCCCATAATGCAGTCAAAATGAAAAATAATTCTATGAAAACAGCGCCGAAAGGTAGAATTCCAGCCATTAGTGTACTGCAATAATATGAAAAAAGCATGTTTTGTTACAACGACAATGATGTTTGAACAAATTCTATTAATTTTATATAGCTTACCCAAACACAGGATTCATGTACCATAATTGATCAGGAACTTGTCTAGGAATTTGATTTGTTCTAACCGGATGCGTAAAAGGCTGTTTACGATATCCAAAGAAATATCCGAGATATACAAGAGGAAGTGATATACCAAACCATAAACATAACAATGCCACCATTGTTACAAATGGTACTGCGCCCGAACTATGTTTACCCCATATAAAGAAATTTAAAAAGAAACAAGTGCCAAACACTATTCCTGGATAAAACATTGCTGTCTGTAACAATCAGTATAGTAATATAGTACATCAGTATATTATATTTGTAAAACATGTCAGTTTATGTTTACCAGTAATGCTGTTCTTCTCCATTTTCGTCCACGCATCGTCTTATAAAGACGCGCGGAAAAATATCCAGCGATTAAACCGGAAAATACATACAAAAATATTGCACAAGTTGCAAGTGCACCTCTACTAGCAGGGGAAAGCATACCCAACATAGCAAAGACTGTAAACATAAAAGAAAATGAAAATATCGACAATTCTATTAACCAAATATAGACATACTTTTTTTATAAAGATAAAATCTTACAAATCGTTATTAAAGCCATACAAAATATTTGAATTCCACTGCCTATTACAGCAGCGAATAAGCGCGGATGTGGCGGAGGACGAAATACATCTCCGTGAACTAATTTCCAACCAGTTTCTTCAATAGTTTCATCTAGGCCTGCTAAACTATCATTTTCACCGGCATTATAGCGTGCAATATCCCTTCTTAAAGTTCGAACCATGATCATTGTTAGAATCCCTACATTATTTTATCAGAAACCAGTGTCTATGCGATTTAAAACAATCAAAAGAATTAAAAGCAAAATATATAAATATGTATTTACCAGAAAGAAAAAGGATTACAATAAGGGAATTGATGATTGAAAACCAGTGAATTTCAACGTCACTCATCCCTAGATATATGTCCCATCTGCTTGCCCAACTTATATCAGATTTTGTCCATTCCACAGAATATAAAAACAAAAGTTTTGTTCCTTTTGGATTAACAAACTGAGGATTTCCATGTGTTGGCAATATGCAGGTATTTCCTTCAAACTTTAATTGACTTACATCAACCGATCGAGCTTCTACTTCAAATCCAACCACTCTGAATTCGTTTCTACAAAAATAAACGTGACTATAATTTAATACAGCTCCATTTGTATATGCATGTATGTATGTATATATATGCTGGTCATGAGAGAGCATACTTTTTATCTGACAAATTTTTACTCGTGCTGCGCATCTCTATTTAGGATCTACACATTCCGTAATTTATGGTAACGCAAGCGCTCTTACGACGACCGGGACGCCGAGAGCACATACAAGGTGTCCCAAAATGAGTGTAAGCCGCTTAAGGGAGTGGTAGCTAAGATGATTCTGAACAACGTTTTCCTTTGCGAAAAAGCTTCGTTTTTGAATTATTAAGGAAAAACAGTGGCCAATCCGAGCGCGCATAGAGCAAGGGTTATACCCAGAAGATAGAAGGTCTCATGATTTCTAACTTTTGTTAATCACAGGGTGTTCTATCCTTTGGGTGAAGTACCTTTTTCATATCGTCAACGTACCATTAGATTTTGCGAATATATTAAAAAAAAAAATAAGTACAACATTTCTCTTTTCTTGTACATTTACGACATCATCATTCTGTTCGTATATTTCTATCCACCATGTGTATGACCATGAAGTAGGATATAAGTTAAAATTCTTCCCAGGCTTAGTGAGATACGCGAATTAAGTATACTCTCTTGTGAACGGCAGTGTAAATTCCAATTGTATATATGAGATTTGTACTAACTCTCCATATTTATGATAACTTAGTTTTAGTTTAAGATAATTATTGATATAATATTGGTCATTCATGATTCCACCCAAACGATATCCATGGTATACAATCACATTATTCGTATCTTTATGAATCTTTTTTGTTGCTGCTGGTAAATTATCAATTAATCTAAGGACAAATAAAATTTGTTACAAAGGGACATTTAACGCAATTTAAAGACTTATAAATCTACCTACAGGTGTACAGTATAATCATGTTGAATACGTTCTATAACACGCTGTGACTCTTCTTCATTCCATGTCATAAGATTAGATGGTCCATGACATAATAATTTACAGCTTTTATTTTGTGCCATTAGCACTTCATATGGTGTATTTACAATTCTATATAAAAATAAATTGTATTATTTTAAAAGAATAACATAAAAGTAATTAAGAAATCTTACCTATCACCACGTAATACCTCTCCTAAGTTTTCAGATTTATAAATCAAAGTTCCATTTTTTGGTATACAAAAAGGAATAGAATAATACTCATATGGCAACTGTGTATGAGTGCTGGTCATTTTAACTGCTTTAACATCAATCTTTTGCCCCTTTTTAAACTCCACAGGAGCAACACCCGGCACGTAAAAGCCATTTGTTTCAATCAATAAGGATATTATTACAAATATAGCACTACTACTTTTTAACCTTTCCTAAAACAAAAAAACAATATACATACACTAAACTGTACAACCATTACATTTTAATGCATGAATTGGTTTTAATAACATCTACATAATTATAATAAAGCATAGATTCAAAGGGATTTATTTATATATATATATATGATATAAACACAAATATATATTAATTTCTAACTAATTATTAAAGTCGACAACACTTTTATTTAAACTGTTTTATTACAACTATGACAAACAATGCTATTAATTTCGTGACAAAACTATTACGGTTGTACAAATATACGCGTTTTATGCTTAGAAAATATTATATCAAAAAAGAATTGCCACGTTAAGTTTACATTTCTACTTTTCAATATTTTTTAAATATAATTAACTTCTAATAATGCTTACCATCCTACAATATTATTTACGTCAAAGGCGCGCCACGCCGTTACCCCTCACTTTATTCTTGATTACTCTACTGACAAAGTTCTCACTCTGTTCACGTCAAAAATGAAGTTTACTTCAATATGAAGTTTGTATAGAAACGTTTATCAGTAAAACAACATTAAAAGTAATTCCTCATAAAATCCCTAGAGACGAGAGAGTCTCGAAGAAAATGACGATTGCGTGGGAGGAAACCCCATATAATAATATTAAATTCCATAACAATAGTTTTTAATAATTAAAAACTATGTTACCTTTTTCCAAATTACTTTTAATCAATCTAAATATGATCACAATTAAGCGTTTGAGCATTTTTACTTCCCCTGTAACGCTATTTTTCTTAGGGATACCTACTCTACCCGATCTTATAGCTGATTATTTCTTATCAATTTTATTCATCTCACATATTTATAAATAATTCACCAGTAATATGTAATACATTGAATATTTGGTGTTACTTAAAGTATTTTATTACATAACAGGTGATTATTATTACATTCTTTCTTGAAATTCCCGCAATTTTTTACTCTTGAAAATAGAAAGGAAGTAATCTTTTATAAATATGAAATGCTGTTTATTCACACATTTATTTAATTAATTTATGTATCATAAATTCTTAAAATGTTAAAATTATTATTCTTGTGGCTGTATAACATCACTTTTTATAAAGAATGGAAACATTTTTACCAAATAATAGTAGATGTTTTGATCAAGCTTTTCCGAGCGAAAAAATATATCCCCGAAAAGGAAAATATCGTCCCACGTGGGGACTCGTTTAATTACAAGTTACGTTATTTAGATATGCATCTGTTCGGTTAATTTTTATTTCAGAACAATGGTACAGGTGAGTGGAAACTTTTAAACATATTATTTGGTTCAAATTTCGTAAAATTTGTCTGAATCAATGCATTTTTCTATCAGGTCTATTGGAAATTTTTGATTGTTTTTTTTCCGTTGTCATCCATTAGTAAATAGGAAAGATGGCAGCAGATTATTGCGCTTTTTTCCTCTACATCCACAGATCCGACATTTTTCTTAAAATTAAGCCATTTTACAAGTTTTTGTTTAATAGTTGTATAAAACCATTCACGTCCAGTTTTATGAACAGAATTGAGCGGGTACCTTATTTTTTAAATGAAATGTAGTTAACATTGAAATAAATAAAATACATAATTTTTGAATGTCGAACTGGTGTCAAATAAGGTGTAAGACGACATACAAATTTTGAAAAATTCTGTATTGTTTTACCGAGTGTAAACATTTCAGTGTTTGATGAATGAAGAATTCATTATGAGTTACTTTCAAGTATTATTACTTTTTTAAATAAAATATGATGAAAATGAGGGTATAAATACATTTTTCACTACATGACATGCCTGTTTGAATTTTTTCATTACAATGTGATATGTTTGCTTTCCAAAACTAATCAATTATTTTTGCAGGCAATCGATGAAATGGAACAAAGGGATCTCCCACAGGCATTCCGTTTGCTGGGGGAGATGAATGCCAATGTATTGCAAGTGAATCAACTTGTGGACAACATGTTAATTCGTGTTAAAAATGGAGAAATTTCTACAGACAAGGGTCTTAGTTTTTTGGAAATGAAATATCATATGTTACTTTCATATTTGATTAATTTGACTTATGTAGTTCTGAGAAAATGTTCAGGAGAACGTATAGAAGGAGATCCATCGATTGATCGTTTAATCGAAATCAGAACAGTCCTAGAAAAAATCCGACCAATAGATCACAAACTTAAGTATCAAATAGATAAACTTGTTAAGACTGCTGTAACTGGTACTATCAACAGTGATGATCCAACTAATTTTAAAGCTAATCCTGATGCATTTGATACCAATGATGAAGAATCTGACAGTGATCAGGGTGATGCAGATGAAGGTTTTAAATCAACACAATCAAGGAAATCTAATGTTTATGTACCACCAAAACTTGCTGCAGTACATTATGGTTAATATATCTATCAATTTATATTGTATTTTTAGTAATATCAATCATTTGAATATTTTGTGTTGCCGTTATAGATGGAGATGAAACAGTTGCGGATAAAATTCGTAAAGCCGGAGAAAGGGTTCGCAGACGCGCTGTATCGGGTGCTGTTTTACGGGAATTAAAGGAAGAATATTTAGATGCGCCTATCGAAGACACACATGGTTTAGGAGAAAAACAAACTAGTCTAGGTCGTGAGAATAAACGGAAAATAGAATATGAAGAAAATTACATGACACGTTTGCCTGTTACTAAACAAGAAAAACACAGACGTCGTCAAATGACTACTGTTGGTACACTTGGAGAAGAAATTACATCGTTTGGAGAATCGTCTTTTGTATCTGCTAAAAAAAGAAAAACTCAGAAGAAAGGCAAAGCCAAAAAAAGTAAGTCTTTCGTATGGTAAATGTTATTGAAATTTAATATTTATCACGTAATTTGGATTGTTTTTACAGGTTTCAAGAAAAAAAGGCATCATTAAATCGACTTTATAAAAATTTGAAAAGCTGAATTTCATACAGCGTTAATAATTAAGGTAAAATGCAAATTTCTTCAATTCTTCTTGACAAATGCAGATGCCATTAATACTCGTTACTAAGTTAAGCTAAATAACTCATAAACAACTAGTAATAAAAGCCAACCATCAACGGTGAAGTAAATAGCACGATGGTAATTTATTACTACATAAGACATACTAATGGTCGTGTAATTGATAATTATAGTTAATAATGATTTTAATCTTTAATTGTTGTCTGAGATCAATTTTTATCTATGGAGTTGAAATGTTCCGTGAGTCACAAAGAAAAAAAATGGTATCTCTACGATATTAAGTACATGAAAAATAATGTCAAGGTACATACGAGCTTAACTTACAAAAAAAAGTATTACGTGTAACCGTGACGCATTTAATCAAAGAATGGATTTCGGCTCCAAGATTTAAAATTGTAAGTTAAACGCAAAAGTTGAAAGCAGAAAATTTGTCTGCTTTATTTTGAAATATTCTCCAGCTATAGATGAAACAAAAAAAAAAAAAAATCAGTAACGTAGCAGGAGGGATGATATCGAATTAATTGTTACAGAAGCGTAAAAATCACAAGACATTCAATGCAAAAATTAGAAAATTCAAGTTTAATAAGAAAAAAGAAAATGACTAGAAATTGCAACCACTCTGCAAATTCTAAGAATAATGTTTATCGTGCGATATCACGTGTCTTAGGATTTTCTCGCTATTTTAGAGTAGTATAGTAGTTAATAGTTTTACTATTATATGTATATTTCGTTTGTATTTTCCCCTGGTAAACTGTTGAGGCTATTATATCTCGATGTGAATCATATTTTATGTTAAGTTTCATTCTTTTACAATGTGTCCATGCATTGTACTTGTTGTTTTAATTTTGAATTGTTTTCATTTAGTTGTTAAACTTATATTAAAAGTAATATAAGGATAACACGAATGTGTCAAAATTCAAAATTGATATTGCCAATTTCTTAATTACTATTTAAGTTTACTGTATTTAGTTTCTTAGGGAGGGGGTATGTGTGATATTGGAGTAAAAACTAATATACGAAGACTAGAGCGAAAATCACTTCTGCAATAGAATAAAGAATTTGTACAACAAATTATAGGGATAAATCCGTCTCTTGCGCTTAAATAGGTTCCATTTTTTAAGTGTTAGACGTAATTCTGGGTATTTTCTTAAACCCAAATGCAATGTTTCCTTTTTAAAGTAAAGGAAAGATAAATATTAATATGCACTTAATACAGCTCATACATGGATATTGGTATCCATTACTCGTTCCTGCAGAAGTGATCCGCATCACCTTCAAAAGTACGAATTCGTTACATGCTAACCAAGGGCTCAACCATCCATAGATATTATATTTTTTACAAAAGTGTTCATAGATTGAGCCAACTTGGTAATGCGTAATGTTACATATGCCCTCTCTTTTTCAATCTGTGAAGACGATTAAAATGTGATAAATTATTCATGAAATAATAGTTAAAGAAACTAACAGAATAGCACAATTGCTGGGCATTATTTACAAGTGCTAGCAAGCCTAATGTCAGCAGCCTTGTCGTATTTGGTAATGAAGTTGGAATACTGAATAGCGGGAAGATTTTGATGAATAATACGAAGGTACCCTTACAAAATCTCATGCTCGTGTTTAATGTACGGCATGCGTGAAATAATACAAAATCACAATAGGTTTCAAAATTTGCCCGAAATTTAGTTTTCTCATACTTTATACATAGATGATAATTTTTGAAGCACACTTACAACTGAAATAACTGTAAGTCCAAAATACTAACTTGTATGAGTGAGTGTGTGAGTGAGTGAGTAAGCGAGCGAGCGAGCGAGTGTATGTGTGTATATATAATGTATATGTTATTATGTATTTATATATACATATGTACCTCCAACATGTGTTTCCTCATTTTTACATTCTAAAATGTTTGTAACTGCGCATTAAATACTATTACGTTGTTTGTAACAAATAGAATTATCGCCGATAATCTAAATTGAAAAGTTTACTCGTATATTATTACATTTGTTTATTAAGCATAGTTTCCTAGACATGTTTTACATATTTTGGACTTATAGTAAAAGTGTATGGGTGTGAAAAATATGATACACATATCCACATACACAACATATAGCAGCAAAGTAATAGGATTACATTGAATACACTACCTCAAATCAATAGAAATATGGATTTACAATAATATAACTGCGTCAGTTACGTTTACATTGTTGTGCCGTTGTTTAGTTATACATTTACTGATACTACAGTTTTGTTGTGAAATATAATAGAATGTATTATGCCTTATGAAAAGAGAGGTATCTAGAATTTGTTATCTCTGACCTGCTTAGCAGGAGTAAATCTTTTAGCAATGTACAAAGAAAGCACAAAGTATGTAAACGTTACTGTAAGCAGTGAGTTTAAAGTAGTCCTTCAAATTCAACAACGCTGCCGAATACCAAATTAAAAGGAGAAACAAGATATCTTTGCAGCAAAAATGAGATTAGAATGATTTATTGAATACATTCATAGTTTGAAGGATGTATGTACTGTTTCGTTTATTGATAAATTTTGTATAATTTATGTACTAAGACAATTCAATGTGTGTGAGAGAAAAAAAAGCGCGCGCAAGAGGAAGAGTTTACCTGTATATTACAAATGATTATTATTAATGAATTATTATTATTATTATTATTATTATTATTATGAATAACTATTATTATTATGATTATTATATTATCATTATCATCATCATCATCATCATCATCATCATCATCATCATCGTCATCATCATCATCATCATCATCATCATTATCATCATCATCATCATCATGTAGAATGCTTCTTACTGACTGAATAAAATGTTTTCAATGTCGATAATTATACAAATAATAAGTAAGTCCTTGTATTGTTTAAATTCAAATTTGAAAATTATAGTTAGAAATACATTTTGCTAGATTCTTTCGCTAGTGAATTTTAAGTTTCACGTTGGTACTATCGTTTTGAATTTGAGACATTCGAGTGCATCTTCGCAACGTATGTCAACGGACGTATCTCCTCGATTCCTTTCAGACGGTCTGCCTGTCGTTGATCTGTGGCACGGCCGACGTGGTGGTAAGTTATTTTTTGATAATAAATATTTTGGATATAAACAATACTCATTAACTGTAAAAATTCATGAAATATCAAGTGTCATGCTTTTTTTCATCGTGACACATATTTTAACTTTCACAGTTTTCGATTTATTTCATCGGTGCTAGTTATATCAGTTATATGTATAAAGAAATGCAGTAGTGTATGGTGTATGATATTTTATTTATGTCGTTCGTTATAATTTACAATTCTGAAATTAATTCATTATATATTTTTCCTTTTTCTTTACTGCGATTCTCATTCTTCCGCCCTTCTGCTCCCCACTCTTGTTTTCTCCTCTCTTTTGCTTACTATCTCTCTTTGTTCTTTACGCATGTCCTTCTTTTTCTAACGTTCCTTGCAAGATGTCGAAAGTGCCAGAGGCGCTCACATGGGTACCGTATAAATTATTTTTGTCGCTACGTATATACACTACAGTAAAATAACCTACTATTGTAGACTCTACGTTTCGCATCAACTCCAGTAACTCTAACAAATACTGTTAAGATTCATGTTAGTATATTAAACATTCATTTTCTTGTCACTTCTCATTGATTATTGTTTTCTTCATGAACCATTCTTTTCCGTAGTTATTTTTAAATCACCCGCGGCGCAGAACTATACAATAAGAGTTTAGAAAAATATTTTCTTTCAAATGATTTTAAATGACTAAAACGATTTTCTTCTTCATTTCATTATTAAGTTGATTAAAAAAATATACACTTATAATTTCGTTTAAAAAATATGTTTTCTGACATTGTATTTAAATATAACATATATATTTTTTAACTCCATAAAAGTACTATATACATATATTACATCCAATTAAGTTCAGCAGTTAAGTTCAGTAGTTACTTTTTAGTTACTTTATTTATTTAATTTTGATTGTTTAAGATTATAAAAAATGGCGGCGACACAACTAAACAGAGCTCGAACCATTAAGAAAGTTGAAAAACCTCGGCCGCTTAAACTCAATCAACGCCACTCGACCGTCGATGGGCGGATTACGACTGGTAATTTTTAATCAACATATGTTTATTTTCTCTAATGTGTATTATGTATTTCAAATGGTTTGTATTGACAATAATAGATTTTACTTAAATTATCATTATATACTTTATCATCATTCATTAAGTCAGTAAATTATATTTGACAGTGGAGGACATAGTGTCCTTAATCGACAATGTTGCAATGCAACTAACTAACGGCTTCCACGACCGAACGCTGCAAATGAATGTGGTTTCAATGTATAATCACTTGAAACTTTATGCTCATCAGTTAGAAGCTATTTATAAAGGTATAATTTAAAACAAGCAGAACTTTAAATATTCCTTCAAATGATTTAGTTATATAGTATATTAATGAAGCATCGATCATTATTTCAGATCAGCTAGATAGAGCTTTTGTGGCGATCAGAAATGGAAGTCAAGACGAAAAACTAGATCTGACGACTAGGGTTCACCTGCTGGAACTTATAGAGTTAAGAGCTACTCAATGGCATCACACTGATTCCATGGATGTGTATTATACACAGAAATTATCACATCTGGATAATGTATGTTAATAATGTTTTTTATCCTATCAGTTAATATTTTATACAGAAATTCAAATGGTTTAATAGGTAGAAGTAATTCCTGACACACCTACAAATGCATTATCATCTCCTATGACAACCATGAGTTCACCTACTATAACACCAATTCTAGCACCTGGTGAAGTGATAAAAAACAGTGGAAAATTTGTTAAACCTACACGTATTCCTGGAAAAAACTATTGCAAAGATGAAGTTGTTATACGTAATAGTGATTCTGGTAAAGGTAAGAAAAATTTGAAGTATACATGTTGTTAGTAATCTTTATATTATAGCAGAAATACACATAAAATTTTGTGATGTTATGTAGAATATGGCCTATCTTTTTTAATTTTAAATAATTTAATTTGTTATTATTGCATCATATTTTTGGTTCTGTTCACTGATATATTTGGTATTATGTACATTTGACACGTTTTTCACACCTATTGTAAGTAGTAAGTATTTTGTTCCTACTTCTAAATCATTTGCACAAAAATACAGTGATGGGAATAAAAGGGCGGCGGGTTCACATGATCGAAGAGCTCAGCCAGACAATCATCTCCTTCCAGCGAGGTAAACAAATAATTTGCAGATGGCTTAATAGCATCATGTTAATGCATTACAAAAATAACTAATTGTATATTTTTTAATGTATTTTATATATCCTAATATTCTTATTACAATGATTAATTTTAATCCGAAGAAATCTATTTGTTTTTATAATTATGTATCTTATCTTATTTTGCTGTATAAGATAATATTTTATGTATATCATCACGGAAAATAACACGAATTTAAGTATTAACTATTTTATTATAAATCATCAAGATAAATTTTCATTTTTTTTTCCTATTTCTCTTAATGACATAATACAACAATAAACACGTTATCTGATCAATTTTACAATTGTGATTTGTGTTGTATCTTTTATTTGCATGAAACATTTTTTTTTACGTTTTTGTGTTCAAGTATTGGTGAAAGTATTGTAAAATATAAAAAAAGGTATTTTGCAAGAGCTTTTTACTGTATGATTTGCTCACAAAATTCTTTTTGTTGTGAAATTGTTTGTATTGTCATTATAGTTTATTATCACTAGTATGCATAGTATTTGCAGCTTGTTAAATCACTTTTAAATAAATATGAAATGTTATGAAGAGCATTCTATACATTTAATACAATTGTATTTACTGCTTATAATTGCTTACCGTTTTAAAATGCATCTAAACATACTACCTTTTTTTTACAGGAAAGTTTTCATAAATTAATGAACTGTTTCTTAATGTTCTAATCCATAAATTGTCTTTTGAAGTGTTTAAATAATAGTACCTATATTTAATAAATATTTATTGTCATATAATTCTGCATTTTTATATCATATTAACAGCAATGCAAACGAATATTTAGAGAATAAACTTCGATAACATGTATAATAAAATATGTCCTATTAATATACCATTTTTTTTTTTCGCAGTAAACCCTGGAGCTAAAGAACGACTTGTCCAAATCACGGGTACTTCCGAGGACAAGATACAGTAAGTTAAATTTTTGCACATAGATTCTAACACATCCAATTTCGTATGTATAATTTTTATTTGAAATATCATCCATAACAGTTATGCGAAGGACTTGATAAAAGATACGATTCAACGAAATGCATCCCCGGTGAGATTGGAGCAAGGTGGAGGAGAAAAGGGAGCTATGGGTGGTTCGAGTTCTTCGTTAAATAGTAGCGCATCAGACGAAAGCAATCGACTGCAACAGCAACAAAGTTCTCGCTTACGAAGCGCGCTCCTCCACAGCTTCTCCACCAACGACGCCAGTATAGGCGAATATAAATATACGGTTACGGTTGGTAACCAGTCACTGAAAATCACAGGATGTAATCTTGATCTTGTTAGGGTAATGATTCTTAAATATCAGAAATACAAATTACATTGTGTGCAAACAATATAGGTTTTAATTTTATTATTGGAATATTAGACTGCAAAGCTGGTACTAGATGAATACTTCTTGGGGGATGCTGAAAATTTTACAAGTGGTATAGAGTACTTCAATTTCGAAGAAGAATCTCCTTATTCGGTCTCGTCTTCCAGTACACAAAAAACACCATTAACCCCAAGTAATACAAACGAAGTAGCGCGGGAGTTAAATATGGATAGCGCTGCAACTTCAGAAAGCGAAGAAACTTATAAGCCCCGTATAATGCCTGAATCAAATCCAACTCAGGAAGGTAAAGTATCCTAAATCGGAAGCTATTTTTTTTTATTCATTTGATAAGTAGTACTAAAATACAACCGTATCAGTTCCAGAAATAAGAGAACTCACGTATGAGTTTTTGTTGCTGTGTTCAACAGGCCCTTATGCAACACGGCCACCCGCAGACTGGGCTCGTATTCAGAAGGAATGCCCCAACATTGTTCGCAAGGTATATAAATATGATACCAATGCTAATCACCTGATGTACAACAGTATTACTTACTAATTTTTCTTAATAAGATGACGCAAAATTAACTCCTCAGAAGTTAATGATATTTATGTTAAATTTAACGACGTTTTCAAATTCTGCTGGAATGTTCACATGCTAAAGTAATGATAATACGTTTGTTCGCATCATCTTTAAAGTATTCGCATTAAAGTATTAATTTCCGTAATACTATTAGACAAGGAAATAGCATGGTATCATTAAACAAAAAAAAGTTTTTTGCATTAATGGAAAATATTTGTGGTAACAGTATATTTATTTAATGATTTGAACTTTTGATCAAAAAGATTTAATTTAACCATATTCGTTCTTCTCCAAATGTCGAGTTATCAGATTCATATTTGTAGCAGTTTCCACCTGCTTCTACTTATTTAAACCAAAGATTTTCATGGTATTATAAATGATGTGATATTTAATAATTTTGACTAAACCCCTTCATTTTGTCAGTATTATGTAGGAAACTTGTTATATATAATAGTTGTTTTTGCTATTGTTTAATAATTTTATATTTTAAATAATATATCTCCCCTTGAAGTTGTTCTAATACATAAAGTATACTAATATATTAATACAAATTAATGTATTGCATTGTATTAATACAATATATTTATATTATGAAGGGTTGTTAAGTAAGATAAGACAGTTATTTTCAGTATGTTTTCTTTCATGTTATTAAAGATAAAGAGATCTGAATGTATCGTTTTTTGGTTTTTTGTTTTTTTCTTTAAATAATGACGCGTAATTTACAATAGTAATGTAAACTACACACGATAACAGGAGTGTATTATGTTATGTGTGTATAATATGTGTAACGTTAAATTTTATATTTTTACTCGTTATTTTTCTTATTTTTCTTTATCCACATTATAATCTGTTTTGTAATTAGTAGTTTAATATTAAATGAATTTGAAGATCATGTTATTACAATGTTTTGTTGCTTTATTATTAAAAGTATTATAGAAGCAAAACAGAAGTATTAAATTTTATATACAGTATAAGAAATCGTAAATGATTTATAGAGTGAATATTATTATTGTACAACATTTTATGACGTTTCAAAAATAATAAAACATTTTTACTTTGTATTATATTTTTAAAGATCATATAGCATGTATGTTATAACAAATCCTCGTCTTTTTTAAAAATTAAATTGAATACTTATGTGTTATTCCATTTAGAAGGCATGCACTTAAGTAAATCATTTAACATTTGCTTTATAAATTCAAAGCATGCTGCTTGTAACAACATATTAAGGTAAAGTAAACATTATTATATTTAATATTATATAGTATTTACCTTAACGGTGATTTATATACACATTAGTTTTTTCAACAGGAACCGATTCGCTGGTTCGAACCGGAAACATATAAAGCTAAAGTAGCAGCTGCTGGGCTTGTTACAGTATTACCACTTGGAGACGGGGAAACTGATCCAGAATGAAATTAAGAATTTAATTCTTTTCGATCATCAAAAAAATTGTATGTATTAATCTGCATCGATTTTTATCTCGATGTGTTGTGATAAATTTTGAAAAACAGACTCAGTATGATTGTTCACGAGTGAATATGCGGTACACACATAGGCTCGGAAATGGACACATAATGATCTGTGAGATAACTTCTTGTATTGCTCAATTCAATTATAGCAATACAAATTAATAGAAATATTGGGATAAGCCGTAATATTTATAAACTTATTAATTTTTTGCGTGTTTAAATCAAAATTTTTCTCAAAATAACTGTAATATTTTTGTAAGCATTTATGCTTTTACATTACAGTTATATGCAGAAAATTTGTAAGGTTCGCTATGAGTTGCTAACTTTACTTAATGAAATGCACGAAGTGCAGCAATACTGGTACAAGAAGTACCGCTTCGTTATACTATTAGAATTGCAACAATTCATTTAAACACTAATGAAAGACAGTAAACAGTTTTTATATTCTTAGCACGATAGATCAAACCATTGTTGATCAAATTATGTTTATGAAAATGAAATTTTCTGAAACCTGTTCAAGACCGTGTAATAAAATTTCCATTAATAATTTGCAACATAAATTGGATAGTTTAGATGTAGAATTAATCTGAAAAAGAAGAAAAAGAATTTTTCTGAGAAACGTTTAACAATAATTCCACTAACAAATTAATAGAAATTGGTTTTATAATCAAAACTAAATTTAGTTTTATAGCGCAATTTAAATGAACATTCAAGGAATGCTTCAATATTTCGTGCGTAATATTTATTTTGTTACGCATAACAGACGTAACAAAATATTTAAAGAAATAGTGATTTAGCATAGTCTAGTCTATCTTTATAGTAGAAACTACCATTCTGGTAATTACTCCGCTGTGACATAATAACCAAAAACGAGATTTATTCAATCTCAAATTAAGATTTTATATTTTATATATTAAAATAATGGTATTATGTGCAGTAAATAAATTAATTAATTAATAAATAAATTAGTTAATTATACAGAAAAAGATAAAAACAGAATCTTCTGATATTGCTATTAATCAATTTTTATATATTTAACGCGAAGCATTTTTCAAATTACACATTAATTGAACAAATCAATAACATACCACTTTTTATTTATAACACACTAATGTATGATTGCAATTTTACTCGTTTAATTTTAAATACAAAATTGTATTTAAACACATTTTTATGCTTGTTAGATAATCTAAATTATTTGAAATTCTAAATCTGTTGGTTTTTATCTTTTAATTTGAGACACGAGTTGAAAGAAAAATGTATAATATTTATTTAGTTTGGAATTAAATTATACTGCACATATATGGAACGTTATATTTATATGTTTTTACATCTTTAATATTTATTACAAATTTACATGATTATTTGATTTAAATTATTAGTAATTTATTTGTATTACCACTAACTGCAGTAATATAACATTATATTATTGTATTTTGTTCTTTAATAATAAATCAATTAAAATAAACATTTCGTTCGATTCCGTTTTTCCTCAAAATACAATAATGCGTGTTCAAAATTAAACGTATCATATTTTAAATAATTTCACATTACTTTTATAAAAGCTTATGTACATATAATGTGAAAATTATGTATATTTTTCATTTTTATTAATCCCTAATATTTAAACGTTCAAAATGGTTGTATAAATAAATCGACTGATCATTCGGCGCTATGAGTTTTATTATTTCAGTATCTTATAGAAATGATAATATCCGAAATATACAGACACCCTCAATTTGTGCATACTCCATTGTACTAGATATCGATTGCAATTTTACTCTTTACTTAAAAGTTAAAAATGTTATTACATGTAATTTAACGTTATGTGCATAAAACGTTAATTTGATAGCAGAGGCCTACTTGCTGATTGTATTTCATTACAATATGTCATGTTTATTAATTACTAATTTCTATAAAGTAAATTAAAAATAATATGACATACATATTCATATATATATTTTAAATTCAGTCTACTTAAACAGTGCATAAATTAATGTAGTCTGAAATACAGAGCCAGTTTCACTTGAAACAATATAATAGCCAATATATGTAGAAGAAATGAAAACGTAAATTCAGGAAAATAAAACATTGTACATCAATAAATCTCTTAATGTATTACCAAATATATATCTAAATTTTAGAAACTGGTTCTGTACTACAACAAACTATTAAATTATATGATCATTCATACAACTGGCAGTTTTGGGAGAATGGTGGTCTTCAGTTCAACCAGCTTATGTTTAAGAACGCAACATAGCATATATGATATAGCTTTAAATAAAATGAATGAACTTGCGGGTAATATTATAAAACAGCAGATACAAAGAACCACCATTCTAAATTATACATTTACATATATCATTTTACCATATCCGTTTCCTTAAATATCTATATATAAGTATGGATGTAAAAGATCGTATATATATTTATATGCATACAACATAGAGTATAGGAATATCATATCAGTGACGAGTAATTGTAACACCAAATTCAATAAAATGGAGAAATATAATTGTAAAGACTAAATATGTTTAGTATGAAACATATGCTTTATCCAGAATTAATATATTTTAAGCTGCCGTGAAGAAATTACTCGTCTCTGTTCCATATTCCAAGACAAATAGACAAATAGCCGAATTTAGTCTAATTATCATTTACTTATAACAGATTAAACTAAGACATTTTATATTCTCAGATATTAATACGTATTTTGAGTCCCATTAGTCATATAAATAAAGATATTCTTCATTGTTGAAGAATATCTTGTACAAAAGATTGACAGATATACATTATATATAATAAAGAATTTAAAAAAATATTGCAACATATTTACGTAGTTTGGTATTAAACACGTGTTTGCATCTACTCGAATTACGTTCATCAGTTACAAATGAGATTTTCAAAAAAGAACGCAATAAGTGTTTTTAACATATAATAGCTTTTCTTTCACAGAATTTGATATTACAAGGTGATCACAAGGTTTTTAGATATATAAGTATTAAAAAAATGTTAAGGATACACTGTGTTCACATTTATTATGATCTAAACATTGTTTTATAAAACATAAATCGCTAATAAGCGATGATCTAGTTTTTAAATACATTACTATGTCGTAATAATGATTTTTTGGGACAATTTGTTCCAATCAAGTTTACTAAACTCACAATTTTTAATTTAATAACGTTAATCCTAATAATTTTGCACAGAGCGCAAGACTAATATTTTATAATATCATAATGCATAATACAAATAATTTCTTCAGTAATGATATCGTACATTCATAAGAAAAGTGTCAAATTAAAGGAACATAAAATTAGATGGTTGTTTGAAAAATGCGTTTTTTTATCAACTTACTATACTTTTAAATTAGCTGGCAATGTTTTTATGAATAGATCTATTTACAATGCAACAGCTTATGTTTTTTGTGTACTTCTAAATTTAGAGGTAGTAAAATTTTTCTTCTAATGAAGTAACTGAGCTATATACCTCTAAATTTAGGTCACTCGAACAAATCTCGCTTGATTTTTGTAATTGATAATTATAAATTTCTACCTAGAGAATTTAAATTTTCATCAAACTATTAAATTTTCATTCCTAATATTTATAAGATTAATTAAACGTCTATATGCAAATACGACCGCTAAAATTTTCACGTAATGATTGCTAAGCGATCAGCACTAGACTACTACGAATATGTGTTAATTACACATTGAATATAAAGTCATTACCGAAGTTTAACGTAGTGTTCTATATAAAATATGTCCTCGCACTTTCACATTTATTTTTTGTAAATATAGAAAATTATACCATTACTTTTCTTCCTGTTATTAAAACGAAAAATTCACTAAATACAATCAGTGGGAGTTTTTGTTTTGCAGAACAGTCAACCTTCTATAGGGTTAAAAGACATAATCAGGTCCTGCCATGTCTATAGCCCATCTGAATTTATCCCTTTGAGTTTTATTATAAATTTTCTCAATAGGGACGTTATTCTTCTTGCACCTAATAATCGAAAACAAAATTAAATCATGTTTCATTACTAAATAATATAGAATGTTATATACATATAAACAAATGTAGGATGAAAAATTACCATGCAACACTAATTCTAGGATCTAGATAATTCAGCTTGGAAGTGCCTAATGCAATTTCTTTGTTTTCCTCCTTGTCTGTTGCTTGGACTTCCAACTTTGTCAACTGCTCCTTTAACTTGTCTAGAGCTTTCTTTTTCTTTTCATATATTCTGTAATAATAAAAGCATAATACACCATTTACATAAGCAATTAATACCGTTGTTAGTGTAATTAACTTACTCTTTTTCCTTAACAGATCCATGTTTTGCGTTACGTTTAGCATCTTTTACAGCAAGTTCTGCGTCGGCTATGGCCTGTTTTTTAGCTTCTATTTTAGTTTTAAGATTTTCCATAGATTTTGCGTGAGTTTTAGGCACTGAACGTTGATGGTTACATAGAATTGCAACTGCGCGATTTGCCCTATTGTACGATAAAATTTTTTCAGTTACTGAATCATCGGGGTTTGTTAATTTATCCAATTGTTGTTGTAACGTCCACGAAGCGTTATATGTTCTGAATACTTTAGCAGTGAGACCTTCCATCAATTCATTTAAATGTTTATTCATAACAGTTGTATTGAGACGATCAAAAAGATCGTCACTTGGTGATTTATTCTCCATAAAAAGTTGTAAGTTTTTGAATACCCTCTTTTCTACTGGCACTTCATTGTAATATCTTATAGAATCCTTACCTACAGGTGTATTTAAATTCCATTATAATTTAATATTACTTTTAAATATACTTCTTTATCTGCTTTTATAAAAAGGAATTAAACATACCTAAGAAATCAAATACAACTACATATTCTCTTCCATCTTTTTGTTCATGCAACGAAATATGTTCCACTCGTAAGGAACAACAACCTACAGTATCAGCCTGATCTTCATCCTTTTCATTACCAGCTCTTAGAGCTAATTTATCTATAAAATATAAGGCAACAGCTCTTTGCCTTATACGCATTTCCTTGCTCTTCCAATCTTCTCTATATTCTGCACGAATTTTATCTATAGACTGAGCTAATTTTCTGGCAGTTTCATATTTTTGCCAATCTTTTTCTCCTTTAAGTTTACTCGACGGATTAAGCATGACGTATTTCACTTGTCCTTGAATGTTCTCTGTCCAAGATGCAAGCCAAGTAACATTAGGATCATGTCGAATTTCTTTCCATTTGTGACCCGCTGGTGGCTGAGGTATTTTCGAATCTTTGGAACAATTAATGAGAATATCTTCAGGCATTACCCTTTTCTTCAGTTTGCCCATTTTAGGATGCTCACCACGACCTCTGAATAATCCGGGAGGTTCAATTTTGAAATTACCTATTTTCTCTTTATGTCCATCAATAGTACAAAAACCATATTCTTTTTGAATTTCTTCATTCTTTTCTTTTATCTTTTGCTTTTCTTCTTTTGTCATTTGCTTTCGTTCTTCGCTTTTTTGAAGGAAATATGCATGCATTTCCTTAAAATTGCATTTACTTAAGTCTTCTATTTTAGCTCTTTCTGATTCAGTCATTACTTCTCGCCAATCGTGAAAGAAATTAGAATTGAATACTGGTTTTGTAGTGTAATCATGATCTAACATGCGTGCATAGAAAGTTGCAACTTCCTCTGCATCTTGACTTAATTTCATTTCTTTTCCATTATAATAAAACTTCACGTCGGGAGGAAGTGGCTCATACGCAGGTGCGAATACTGGTCCTTTATGTTCCAAAAATGTCCACTTTGTCCCATCATTTTTCTTTTCTTCTTCCCACCTAAAATTAATATACATTTTACATTTATTTTATATCTTTCAATTTGTATCTATTATATCAATTTTAATAAAATTAAAAACATCTCGAAGTACTTTTGTTACAAAACACTTAACCTTAAAACATGCAACTTTTTTAGAGCTCTAGATGTAAAGCATTTATGACTTAAATTAATATGTATATTATTTAAGAAAATTGCTTTGATATTTTTAATAATTTTAATCATATCTAATTTGAGAAAGAAATATCTAAACTATCATGATTAATTATATAAATAGATGTGGAGAACAGTACTGTTCCAGAGTAAGGAAAAAGTGACATAACCTCACTTCTTTTACTTCGTTTTTTGCGGGATTTTCAAACAATGAAGAAATTTTACCATTTCCAAACTTCCTGTTCTTCCTCTTGCTTTTTCTTCCTTGGACTCGAATTTTCGCCTCTTGATGTTCTTGCACCTTTCTTCTTTGGTTTCTACGAAAAGACAAAGTAAATTACAATAATTTTTAGAACTTAATCATTAAATCTTTCAAATTTATGGCTAGCATCTACAAAATACATCACTTGTTCAATTTCTTCTTCATTTTCATCATCTTCATGTTTTCGCTTCTTTTTTTTAATTTTTGTATCATTTTTCTTGGTCTTTTTGCGTGCTGAGAGCGGAACATCGTCTTCCTCTTCTTCTTCCGAAGCTATTCTTCTTTTAACGTTCGTGCGGGCTACAGATCTTGAGTTCTATTGAATATGTATGATGCATGACAAATTTCTTACAATACAATAAAACTGTAACGTAAATATGTCTTACCAATGGCAGATCTTCATCTGATCCTTCTTCAGTTTTAAGAGTTGTGTTATGGAGATCTGAGAGTCTTGTATCATTCCCATCAGTTGAATCCATACTACCTTCTTCTTCATTCATAGGCTCCTCATCTTCTTCTTCTTTGATGTATAATGGCTGTTCTCCACCACTATCATCATCATCTTCCGGTTCAATTTGTGAAATAGGTTCCTGTAATATAATTTGTTTACTGTTACATTTTATTTGCTATAATATCAATAAAGAATAGTGTGAACTATGTACATACATCTTTTATTTCATGCTTCAAAACTTGACCAGCACTGTAATGAAATTCATTGTTTTCAACATGATTAGGTTTTACATCCATTACTTCATCTTTTACTTTAATTTCTTCTTTATCCTTCTCTTTCTTATCCTTTTCTTCTCTATGTTTTGCTGTAAGTCAAACGTAGATAAAATGAAATTTATAATTATGATCTAATTATGCACCAAATGTCATACTTACATTTTTCTTTGTCATGACGATGCCGATCTTTATCTTTATCATGACGATGTTTATCCTTGTTTGATAAACTATGCCTGTCTTTGTCTTTTTCTGAGGAGCGATGTTTTTCTTTGTCATTTACATGGGAGGTGGAATGTCTTTCTTTATCTTTATCCGATGAATGTTTCTTCTCCTTTTCTTTATCTTTAGATGCAGATTTCTCTTTCTCTTTTTCTCTAGAACTTGAACTTACATTATGTTTGTATTTATCTTTATCCTTGGTTTTATCTTTGTCTTTCTCTTTACTTTCTTTATCCTTGGAACTACTGTGATGCCTACAACAAAAGTTCCTTTATGTAAACAAACTATTAAAAATAAAATATAGAAATATGATGAAAGATTTTTCCAATACCTGTCTTTATCCTTAGAACTGGAACTAGAACTAGATTTATGATGATGTTCTTTATCTTTACTTTTATCTTTCTCTTTATCCTTGCTCGAGGAACTACTGCTTTTATGCTCTTTATCTTTACTGGACGATGAACTACTTTTTCTATCTTTCTCCTTGTCTTTGTTATTGTTGCTACCATCATGCTTATCCTTTTCTTTAATAGAACTTGAACCATGTTTATGTTTATCTTTTTCTTTATCCCGATGTTCACTCTTATGATTTCTGTCTTTCTCTTTGCTCCTCTCTTTGTCTTTATGATCCGATTTATGAGATCGTTCTTTGTCCTTATCCCTATGTTCAGATTTATGTTCTTTTTTTTTATCAAATCCATTTGACATACCATTTATATGAGTATCTAAAAATATTACAAAATATAGCAATCACTTGTATTTTTCTAAAAGATAAATTATCACTAAATAGTCACAAAAAATAATTTAAAATAAAAAGGTCTTAGATCTACATATTATTTTTATTATAATTACTATGGTAAAACGTGTTTAATACATGCTTATCACAAATTAATTTTAAAATATGATTTATAATTTGGATTAAAAAAAAAAGAAAATGTAAGGTAAAAAGTTTTCGCAGCATAGAACGCAAACAAATGCCGATTCAAAAAAGAAAACTAAATTTGAATCGCAGGAAGTCGTAAGTAGTTCGGACGCTTCGTCAGAGTCGAAACACGTGTCAGACCGGTTGGGTCGTTGGCAGCCTCAACTCTTTAGTTCGCTCATCGAGCTTAACATTTGCTGTTGCAAAGTTTCGATTTCATTTTATGTCAGAGTATTATGTTAAACTCCATGAATAAACTGCTTACCGCTATGATTCCCAGTTACATTACTATTTTCTTTAGATTTTCTTTCCTGAAATAATAAAATTCATATTAAAATCTTATCTTAATAAGAACACTAAGTCGTACGGAAACAGTCACTCTTCTATCGGACTTAACGTCTGGTGGTGCGAGCGAGCCAGGTAGGACTTAGTCGCAGACGCCATTTTGGGACTTAGAAAAATTTTGCGTCCGCGGCTATGCCGTACGTTCAAGAGGAAAGCCATGATATAAAGCGAAATATCGAAAAACTGTGTACGTAGGTAAATGCAGCATAACAAACAGATACTAAATAGTCACTTACTGAGTCGGAATTCGACTGCGTTGTTGGCTGCTCAAGCTCCATTTCTCATACGAACGCGACTGATAGACTCTGGCAACGCGAGAGCTAACAGAAGCGAGAGAAGTAAAGAGAACTGGGGACACGCACACCACTTAGTCGTTATTCGACCATGTACTCCGCGCGAGACTGTAGACCGAGTCTACGCTTAGATCGTATAGGAAACCCAGTCTAAGTATCAAAAATATCTAACTGCGCATGCGTTTCTTTGCTCCGCCTCTTCGATCCCCGACATAACCCTTTGCCCCTCAGTCTCTATCTGTTTATTCAGTCATATTTCGTTTTAGCGATGTTGCTTGTAAACGTAATACTTGCGATTTTATAACTAATAGGTATTCAAGTATTTGCTAATATATGAGTTGACCGAGGTTTTTCATTCATCAAAATAGCATTAATTTGGAAGAAAAACGTCTAGTTTTTGTTCACCAACTGATTATGAATAAACATGCTCGTAACGTGAAATTGGATGATAGCGAAGTTCATCACATGTGCATGAAAGCCACTCCACGTCAAATTCAGTCAAATTGCACGAGACCGATACTACAAGTTGCTAATTTTATGTATAATTTATTTATTTAAAGAAATCTATGCGTATAAGATTTCAACTTCGTAGTATAAGTAATTTTAAAACAGTAAGGGAAAATTTCATAAATATGCACCACTTCCGGTATTTAGGTATACTTTATTTGAAAGAATAATACAATATTTTTTTATGTAAAAATTTAATGAAGTATGATTAAATAAGAGAAAAAAAAAACATATTGGAATCTCAAACATACTAAAAAGTATAGTATTACATGTTACATTTTACATAATTTTATACAAATATGTAATGCCATATTTGGAATGAAATGTGATGAATTGTAAATGTATGTTAGGGGTGTCTATTTATATATTTCTATGATAGCAAATTAATTTGTACAATAAACAAATTTGTAGTCATGATTATTTTTTTTAAATTCCAAGTCTATGCTATAAAATTAATGCTGTACACTTTGTCATTTCTCTAATTTTACATATTCTGGTTTTCCTTTGCTATCCCAGACAGTTTTCATTTTTTGAAAGGCAAATACAGCATACAATGCTGAAAAAAGAATCATTATTATAATAACATAACTATTAAAAAATTAGTAAACAAAAAATTATTTTTTATACTAACTAACAATGTCCCATTCTGATTGTGACAAACTACAAATCTTGTGACGATCCGAGGTTTTCAGGTGTTTAAGATGTTGATAATCCTGATCTGGTTTACCAACCAGTTTGACTCCTTCATTAGGTGGATACATTTCTAAAGCTTGCATTTTATTTAGTAAAAATCTACCTTTGTCCTTATTACATTCGTAATATTCGTCAAATCTACAATCAAAATATACATTATGTACATTCTTGAACATAAAAGATACAGTACATATATAGTTATTTAACTTTATTTTTTACCTTTTAAACATTACTAATTCTAAACCAAATCTTCTACCTAATTTACGAAACACTGGTAAATAAACAAGAAATTCTGGACAATTAACCAGACCTTCTAACTGAAAGTGATACTTGGCACCAAAAAGTGGTGGTTTTGTTTTATCACAAAAGAATTCTATGTTATAAATATCATTTCCAAAACTATTGCCATCACAGTCTTGCCACCTAGAACTGAACAGCAAAAGTAAATCTTTGGATTCATTTCTTTACATATTTTTGATAAAGTTATCAAAATGAATAAGATAAAACTATTGATGATTAAACATACACTAGGTTATAAGCATCTGGAATAGTCCCAATAAAGTAACCTCCTGGTTTTAAACATTCACTGGCATTCTTCATCATACATTCTGCTTGTTGTAATGTTTCAAAGCAATAATGAAATGCAAACTGGCAGCTCACAAAGTCAAGTTGTATACTGGGATCCTTGAATTTTGTCCTTAAATGAACCTGAAACTCTTCTTTATAACCAATTTCTGTTGACCAAATATGCATTGATAATATGCGATATTTCACAATATTAATTACATTCCAACATTTTGTTTTTATTCTTTCTACTTTTTAAAGACACAAAATATTAGAAACAAATACCTTTGTACAATCTGCTGCTATAAATTCAGCAGTGAATACAGGAGCAATTCGTCTTTTATTATACCACACTTTTGTTAGTTCTTTATAACGATCCTGACATTGTTCTATAGATATTTCGGCCAAATCAGCACAAATTACATGTGATACTTTTACTTTTTCCCATTTAAATAGATCTCCACCTTTACCACAGCACATATCCAATACCTTTATGGGATACCCATGTACTGTATGTTGTTTTATTTTATCCGCATATTCAACTGTAAATAATTCCTTTGTTATAAATTATTCAGATAAGCATGCTTGATTTATATTGATCAGAATCTTACGTATAAGTATGCTTTTTATCCAATTGTTAAAATTTCTCATATATAAAATTCGACTTTGCTTTCTATGGAAGCTCCCTTCATTTCCTAATGAATTATAATGTCTAGCAACTAATAGCGTATTGTCACTATGTATTCTAGTTTTCAATGATTCATTTGTGTCCTTATTATTATCAATACTTAAATTAGAAGTATCGATAAGCTATAAATTATAAAATGTATTTAAGTAACATGTAATTATTTATTACACAAATAACTGTAAAGAGTACACGTAATATATTAATATATACATTTTGTCCTATATCATGTTTTCTTTTTTTCTCAGATGGTTCTGCATCTGGAGAACGCTTTCTTTTGGTTTGTGTATGTACTTTATCCTTTGTTTCATTTTCTTCTTTTGTATTTGTATTTGTATTTGATGTTTCTGGATTTACTCCAAGTAATACTTGTTCAGCATCCTGTTCTGGTGATGCCAGAATTTTTCTTTCAGCCTCATTCATTGTTTTGAAGCAAGGTATTGACTTTGCAATATCAGAGTCACCTTTATCCAAATATTAAGCTCTATTTTGTATTTAACTTCAGTAAATACTCTTATTTGGTAACATACGTTGTGCTATAAAAGTCAATAGATAAATCATTACAATTACTCAAGTTTGAATGAAAATAAATCTTTTGTAAGTATTACACGTTCTATCACTTGGAGCCACTAAAGTACTTCTCCTCTAATGAAGTATGTAAGGAGTTAACTGTTACTATCAGGATCGACAATGTAATTTGTATTTTGTAAAAATACCCTAAAAAATACACGTAGTTAGAAATATTCCTAAGTTGTCGAGTTACGAGGAATAAATTAATAGTTGGTATGTAGGACAGTCGTGCTTGCTTCTCGGGTAGATGGAGCTAGTCAGCTACTCAACGAGTTACCGACTTATCGACACTCCCGAACGGGTGGGGGCACTTGCGCCACCTATCGGGATATCGCGGAAACTAATAACCGAATAGTTTCCGCGGTTTTCGGATAGATGGCGCTAGTGTTCCGTGTCCAAGAATGTTGGTAAGTCGGTAACTCGTTGAGTAGTTTGAACCGTTTTTGTATAGATGGCGATATGGTCGAGTTTGTGACCCCCCTTTCTCCTTTCGCGGAAAATTTAATTTAGCAATTAATTTATAATTAATAATTTATGTTTAAACATAACAGTACATCGCTATTTCAATTAAATATAAAATGTTACAAATTTATTTTACTATCATAGAATAACACAGTTGCTGTAATGTATCTCTTACAATAAAATATTTTTCAGATCTTTCTATTATTGATTGTTAATATTTTGCTTATTAAGAACTAAATAAATATATGTATGTACATCTAACTGTTGAATTTCATGTGACAATAATTACACAAACACATATTTTGGTCCGCTTTATTTTGTGAATGTTTGAAACTATTTACAAAATGTTATGTTACAAAACAAAAGATAAATGAGATACTAAACACTGATGAACAAAGAATAAAAAGTTAAATGCAGAAGTCAGTCAACTATTGAAAAAAATAATGAATTAGTTGTGTGCAGCTCTCTTACCATTCATGTAACCTATCCATCGTTCTGCTGTAGTAGTAAAAAGTGGATCATTGTCAATTGAATTTAGAAGAAGAAGTTGATTAACATGAGTGGAATGATAATCCCACCTAGCTAAATTTGGAGCTGTTTTTAATGTAAAATGACGTAAATCATAGGTAGTACCGGAGCCAGTATCATATAAAGTTAACATGTTTTTTAACGATGTCATACCCTGATTAAAAAGACGGGATGCTTCCTCTGCATCCTTACCACTTGCTATACTTTTTAGGTCGTATAAACCAATTAAAGAATAAATAAATCCATTAAGAATAAAAGAAGAGGGTGTTGTAGGATATTCCTCGTACCATACGTATTTACCTAAAAATACTGCAGCTACACCCCCTTTGCTAGAGGATAATCTAAAAGGCTGCAAACCTCTAATAGCAGCTTGTAAATATTTTTCTTCACCAGAATGATAATACGCTCGTGCTAATACCGAAATAGCATGCCCTTGACCCATACTAGAATACCTATTTAATTAAACATTCAATTAAATTAGATTCTTTTACGTTTTTCCAATAATCAGCAATTTGTTCGAATAAAAAGTACCATCCAGGCTCAAGAGTTGCCATGCCAGGTGCTACTTTTCTTCTAACAGGATTTGGCCATCCACCAGAACTTATGTTCTGATTGGCTACAAACCACCTTGCTGCATCATAGAACTGTTCCATGTGTTCACTTGTAGATAATGTTACATTATCTATCATTCCAGATCCATACAAGGTTATTTTTACCATCTATAATGAAAAAAAAAAAATTGAAATAAACCATTTTGCGTATACAGTTTAAATTTTAGATGTAAAAAAATTGCATATTTAAATAAAAATAATTTCTTTTAATAGTTATATTACCTTTAATTTAGAACGCGATAATTTTTTCTTATTTTTATCATTTAAATATAAACCTTTTTGTAAATCAATAACCAAGTCTCTAGTGAACCGTTTCCACTGATGATTAACTTGACCAATTCCATAGTAAACATGATTGTTATAAGCATGTAATACTATATTACTCGTAACGTAATGAAGATAATAAATTTCTTTTCTTTCCCTAGATTGCAAAGCAATCACAATGCTTCCATTATCTTTAATGTTAAAATCCCACTTCAATACAAAATCTAATACATGATCTAATTTCAAAGTAATCCCAGAGGTACTAGTTTCTGGTGTTGCAAATTTTATTACATGACTATTAGAATGTTTATCAAATATTCTAGATGCAATAGATCCTTGAGGTATAATCCATTCTCTTTTAACTTTATCAGAATCCTCGATAGTTTTTCTATGAGGCTCTGGTTCTGTTAAATTTTTGCTGTAATGTGATAATCCAAATTGAGCTATTTGAGTAGGATAAAAATATCCTTGACTTTCCCATTGAGTGGATATTGGTACACCGTCGCTTCCGCTGATACATTTAACACGCTCCCGAACTTCGACATTATAATTTTCAAAAGTCATAAACACCCCTCTAGGGTCGTATTTCCCCTTGGGGTTGACGATTTTTGAATAACTATGCAACCATTCAAATCTCTCTAAGCCATCATATGTTGCCAGTTTTCCATAAATCTGTTATATTTCATAGACATTAATATCATTTTAAATATAAATAAAGAAAATATAATTTTAACATTTACCTCAAAATATTTATGAATAAATGAAAATGGTACATAAACTTCATCTCCTTCTTTACGACATCCAATTGAATAATCACCATTTATATGACAGTCTATTTCTTGGTATCCAGTTTCTAAATTTACTCTATCCTTTGTGTAAACATGAAATAATTATTAATATAGGATATATTATGTAATAATTATAGAAAAAATACAACAAAATATATTTTATAAAAGTATTTGTTTGTGTTGAATTTATTTTATGCAATTCAAATTATAACATTTACTTACTCTATGTTGAAACTTTGATTTCCAATCGGTACTTTTAAAAAATGATGGGCTACTACAATTATTCCATGATGTTAATATTGAACTAAGTACTGCAACTATTACTACAAGTAATACTGTCTTGAAATTCAACCTCATCATCATATGAAATCTGCTGGCACAAATTGAAATATTTAAAAGTTCATTGAAGTTTGAATAATGTAACAGGATGGTACTTACAATATGTTAAAAAGTTTGTTCCACTTTCTGTTAATAACAATTTTGATTAAGATCATGCATTATATTTCCCATTCCTAAAAGCTGTAACATTGTAAAAGTATTTAAGAACAATTATTGGTAAACAGTAGGAAATAAATATGGGAATTTGTGAGCTTTTAAATTACATACATATGTTCACCCCTTTTATGGAAATACACTTTATGTTTTCCATTGGGGTTATTATGCATCTAATCATTGATAATTATTGATAGTAGCAAGTGTTTCATACATATCGTTTGTTACATAATATTCATAAATAAGCAAAAGTTGATGTAATGTCTATTTTGAACTCTTGAAGCTGCCTACTATTTCCTTAAAAAAAGTAATGCATACAAACTGACTAACAAATGAGCTTAGAACTTTTTACATAAACTCCCTAGAACTTACTATGGAAATATAACTACTGAATACATTTCTTAATGATTTTAAGAAAACTTCGTAATGATATTAAAAGATTATAACGACATTATTATCTAGATGCCTGCTTCAACTGGGAAAAGGAATGTAATACTTTTATTCATTATACCATTACATCATTTTAATAATGTATTACATATAATACAAAATGTTTTAAATATTTATAAACTGTTCATGATACTAATAAAATTATTTTTTTCACATTTCATTTAATAACAGTATTCAATATGATTCTTATTTCATCTTTCATTGTACAAATTTTATCTCCAATGTTATAATACTTTAAGCCTTATATCTAACATAAATTTATTATATTAATTATATCTATTTAGCCAAACAGTATCTGATCTTCTTTTTATAAAATATAAACTACCCAAGTGTATAATAACAATGCTGAATCTTGTATAATTGAATATTCTTTGTGCCCTATTTCCATGGTGATCAACCTTATAACTCCATCTGTGAGTCGTGATACATAATGGAATGTTCAATACTACTTGTGTACTAAGGAGATTTATAAGAGATGGAGCTGAGAGGAATATTGAAATATTATTAAATAGGTACGTTCAGTGCGTTCACAGGATATTTTGAATTTGTATAGATTTGAAATAACCATTAATATGCCCGACTTTGATCATGAAAGGGAACCATGTATCGTTATTAAACTTCCCTTTTTCAGCATTCCACAAAGTATGCGTTGATACTTTTGTCAAAAATTCCTCTACTTTCTTATAATACTCTTTCTTTTGTAATATTTCAATTTAATCAAATTTCAGAGCAATTATAGCAATGTATGTATAACATATATTGAAGAATTTTTATGCTGCTGTATTTCATTATTCTCTACTGTAAGTTTTAGTAACATATTTCATATTAATGGTCCCTGCTAATGCGTTATTCTTATAATGTTAGATATGAAATGTTTGGTTTCTAGAAGCCAATCAGGTTAACTTACAGCTAATTAATAAATTGAAGTATTGCTTCCTTTTGTGATATGGATTCTGTGGCACTTGAGTCACAATAGCAAAAAGATTATACTCAAAATGTTCAGTAATATTTTGTACACTATAAAGTAGTATTGTAGTGTAAATTAAGTTTTCAATGTCGTACAATTAATGATTTAGCAAATAATAAACTTAATTAATATTAGATATTAAATTATTCAAAATAGAAATATTATTTGTTATTTTACAATAATAAAGGTCAAAGGTTTAATATGTATTTCTTATTCTCTCGTTACAGGATTGGGTTCAGTTGGATTATGGTCATAAATAAATCTAACAAGTAGTTAAATTTAATTCTATTAGGTAAGCAAGTACCAACTAATGAGATAATAGATGCATTTCATTCTTAATTTCATCAATGTAATTTTATTAATTTTATTAATTTAAGTGAGTTATAAATTTCTATTCAGATAGAGTACCTGTATTCATATTTTATTCTTTTGTGTTTGGTAGTTTATTAATGGATTAATGTTGTACCAGTACATGTTATCGTGTACAATATGAAGGTTAAAAAAAATGATCTTAATAAAAAAAATTCTTTTGATTAACAATATAAATTGAATTAATTATGGTATGTATAGATAAACAATGGAAACAGGAAATCTTGAAAAGCAGTCTCCTTCAAGGGGGTTAAAGCAGGTGAAAGTGGATAACTGGGGAACTTTCTTTCTTCAGCGGCTTCAACAACTTTATTTTGATGAACAGTTACTTGACCTTACCATCAAATTTCCCACCAGTGATATAACTGTTCAGGTAATTGTTATCAAAAACAATTTTATCATAAAGTAGTTAAAAACAAATTGATATTTGTATTTATTAATATTTTTATTATTTGTAGTAATCCTGTAATAATGTACTATATTAATATTTTAGGCTCATCGCTTAGTTATAACAACATGCACAAACTATTTCATGCAACTAGAGCAAGAACAAAAAGCAAAAGATAAGAATTTTGATGGTGTTATTACTATGCCATCAGACATGCCATATGAATGTGTCAAGTCAGTTATAAGGTACATTTAGATACTATGTAATTTCATAATTAACTCATTTTTCAATTAGAATTTTAAATAAACTATCGTAATATTTTTAGTTTTATGTACACTGGACAGTTGGAATATTGGACTTCTGATCAACATGCTCTCTATAGGACAGCACAGAAAATGAATATGACTGTTCTAACTAAATTACTTGATGCACAATTTAATACTGCTTCTTTACAAAACGAACAATCAGCAAAGTGCAATACTCCACCAGTAACAACAGCTTCAAAACCTTCAACATCCACCCCAAAACCAGTAACTACTTCCACATCATCCACTACACCATCTTCAGGACTTTCGAATCAACCTTTACCTGGTAGAAAGTAAGTACATAAATTAACATAGGTTTTTAATGTAAAATTCTTGTATATGAATTTTTAGTATTACACATATAGCATGAACTTTTTTTTTAATTGTTTCAGACTTCCTATTTGGAAAAGGAAATTAGATGGACCACAAAATACGTCATCATTTAAGTACGAAATGCGAACATTCCATGGGATTCCCCCACCAAAGCCTACAGAAGTGACCCCCGGTCCTTCACGATTCGATCTCCCGGAAGCCGAAGAATTTGCACTCGGCGTATTTTCATCGTTCGACGATATTACTTACAATACAAAACCAATTGTGCAAGCACCAGATGTATATAAGAGAGACAATTCGCCTAGTGGTAAATGTTCCCCAGACGGAGATAGTAAAAATGATACGACTGAAGATGAGGAGGACGAAAATCACATGAACGAGAAGAGCTTAAAAGAGATGAATTCCGATGACGATTGGTCTGTGAGTAGATGTTTCCAAAGGGGTCAAGAAACACAACCCTCGCCATCCAAGAAAGTGAGATTCGATCGTGAAGAGAAAGAGAATATGGAAAAGGGAAAATCATCGCATAAAGCGAATTCAGAAGATTCGATCAACAACCACGCAAAAATTATTCGTGAAGTACTGAAAAAATACCCTCATTTAGTAAAGAATAACAAGAATATACGTTTGAAGATAATGCAGAAAGAAGCGAAATCGTCGGATAGTAATTCCGCGTCTAAAACGAAAGTCTCTTACGTGGTTCTAAAATCTGATCATTTGATGTCGAGCAATAATAGCGAGGAAAACGAATCAAAAAGTAATGGAACCGTGGACGGTGGTGAGACCGGTCCTTGGAAATGCAATAAGTGTGACTTAGAAGAAGAATACACAAATTACTATATGTACAGAAGACACATGCAGGATGTGCACGAGGAGAAATTCGACCCAAGAATCTGCGAGCACTGTGGTTATAAAGCGACCAAACGAAACATCTTGATGTATCATCTTTACACGAAACACAATGTGCCTCCCCCCAAAAGCATGTGTTTCCCGAAGTGTCAGTCATGTTCTTATGTCGCACTTTCGGAGACGCTGTTAGTAAGACATCAAATTAATCATAACCATCGACCAACATCGCGTCAACACGTATCAGCCTCGGAGGAGATTCAGTGTATACAATGTTCGCAGACATTCAAAGATGTTACAGAATTGACTACACACGAAATTCATACTGGCCATGGGAATTTAGCAGATGGCAAAGAAAAGGGCCACCGTTGTACTCACTGCGGCAAGATTTTTGTACGGGCTACAAATTTGCAGGTCCACCTCGACTGCGTTCACAAGGATCTACGAGATTCTGAAAACGTATCCATGCCATCGTTGTCCTTGGAGCCCTCCTCAGAAGCTGAAGCCCTTAGCCACGTAGCGAGTGGAATAGCAACTTCTTTGGGTGTCGGAGACAACGTTCCCGCAGAGTCTCACGAGGCGACTTCAAACGTCTCCGAATACATCGTACCCGAGATGCAGTTAAACAATATTTCCCATGAGATAACTTACAACACGCACGAGCTCGATGGACAGCAGATGATTATGCTGATCGATAATGATAATTATCCGCAACAAGAGAATGAGCAGCAACAGCAACCACAACAGTTGAACATCACTGATAACGAACAGATTGTGATGCAAGGTACAGAAGATGGAATGATTGTTTATATCCATGGTAGTGAAGGAACAGAAAGACAAACGTACGAGAATTATCAGCAAGATGAACTTGGTGAAGAGACTGAGGAGATAGTGGAGGAGGTGGTTGAAGAAGTTGAGGAGAAAGTGATGGATGAAGATATGCAAGTTGAACAATCAGAGACATTAGAGGAATGTAATGATGATCAAGTAGAAGAAGTTATTCAGTATGTGGAAGAACAGACTGAAATAGTAGAATACGATGAACAATGCAGCGAACAAAGTAATAGTGCAGACGAGGCCCATGAATCAGTCATGATCATTGAAGAAGAACATGTTGAAGGAGAACAGGAAGCTGAGAAAACTAACGAGCAAAACAATACAAGAGGCTTTACTAAGTGGGACGAGGACAGTAGAGAATTATCTGAATCATAAATAACAATATTATTACTATATTTGCTTTGTCACTTCTTATGTTTTATTAGTGTTTACGACTAACAAAGCGCGAAATATTTCGATTGCATTTCATTATACTTCTTCATTCTAATACTTGTTTGACTTATATATAATAGATTAAACAGAATTGCTTTATACAGACACAAAAGGAATAATGTATTTTCTGTATAGTTGCAACTTATAATTTCTTTAGACATACACTTGTATAAGATAGAAAAAAAAAACCGTGAAATGCAAACGAATAAAAGACAAGAGTGTCGATTTTATGATTAACTACTAGCTACACATGTTCAATGCAAATATTTAGAAATAAAAAGATTGAAAATAACGTATCCCTTTCGGGAATTGATTCATAGACACTATAATTGCGAGGTTTCATGATTATCCACGATAATCGATTACACTTTCAAATAGATATTTTTAAAATGAATGAAATAAAAAAGCGTATAATTGTGTACTGCAATATAGAATTACGTATATAGTGTAACAAAAATATCATTTAATTGATAATTGAAATATTTTTTCAAACTTCCTTGATCATTTTAATTATCATTAGTGATATTTATCTATCAAGATTTATCATTTATTTCATTAATTCAAATGTTTTGAATATTATATATTTGAATACTAATTTATCAATTTATTCATATAAAAAGTATAGTATGTATTCATAATATGAATATCTTGAATAGAAAATATGATTCAATAGAAGAAAATACCAAACATTATGCTATTTGAGCTATGCATCACAGAATATTCAGACTTGAAAAGGCAAAAAGAATATATTTTTAACAACAAAGTTGAATAAAATATTTGCAATTTATAGGGTGAAACATTCTTATATATTTTATGTTTAAGTAAATCACATAAATGAAAGTTGTACTTTTAAAAAATGATGTATCAAAACTTGTTTTATTTTGGTTCTTATTACCGCAACGCTGTTCTTTGAAAAAAAGAAAAAGCTGTTAGCATTTATTGAACTATTTTGAAGTAATTATATTTTTATAATTATATCCAGTGTAATTTACAGTAAAGTGGTTTAAAATTATTTATTATAAGATACATAGAGAAAAAAATTTGATTTGTAACATTCAATAAATGATACGTGTGCACATAAACTATGGTAAAATGTGTAATGCAATATGCAAAAAATAATTGTATTTTTAACGCGCACGTCCAACTTTGGCCTCAAATGCAATACATAAACCGAATTGGACTATGTTATTCCTGAATATATATTCAACATAAACTAATTTTCCGTACTTATAGATGCAATAAGTACAAAAATTTAAGTAAAACACAAAAGAACCCAAGTTCAAATAGATTTGAACAAAATAACAAACCAATTAAATGTAAAAATAAGGATCATCTTATCATTAATATAGAAATTTCTCATTTTTTATGTGCTATACAATTTTTTATTTCAATATTACACATAATCAAGTAATTGTAATTTAGTTATTACTGTGTTGATAATTATTTGTACTTTAATATTTCTTTAAGTTGAGGAACTTGAAGAAGCAGTGCAAAAATAATAGTTGTGTAGTTTTATAAGCAAAGATACTTTAAAAGTATGATCACTCATATTTTTCAAGGATTGTATATGTATATTTTTTTTGTTTTATGGGGTTTATAACTTTAAAGAGAATTTTAAATTTAATAAAGATTGTCCGTATAAGTTGTGATTTTCATTAGACATTTTTTATTTTATATTTAGACTTCTAATGTGTGTATTATTTATTACAAATGTGTAGGAGTGCTTTTTTGGTATTTTTTATTAATTAATTACAGAAAGGAGAAATTTCTGTGATAAAAATAAGATGATTCTTAACGCGACTGTTACTTTGCTTATCGATTTTTTAGTTTACCAACCGTTAACATAGTTTTTATAACTGTATATTAAAACAGTTAATAAATAAAATATACACATTATACCTTCAAGGCGTGTATGATTTTATTCATTTGTAATAAATTGATGGAACAAAAACAATAGAATTATTCAATGTTTGAAAAGAAAATTAGCAAATGTCCTGAAATGAACAAAATTGAAAAAAAAGGATTTAAAATTAGTGAAAAACTATCAAAGCTATCACACATTTTTAAAGTAGTAAATAGACATTTAAGTGATCTATAAACTAAAAAATTGATAAACGATGTTGCGCCTTGAATACAATCTTAAGCTCAAAATTAATTGTTGATTAGTAAATGAAACAATTAATGTAAACATCTAATATATTGGTTGTACTTTTATGTACATTGCTCAAAATAATTAAACGACCACGTTTTTCAATTATAGAATGAAGCAAATGAGGAGAATGAAGATGATGTGCATTTAAATGTAATACCATTTTTAACAAATGTTGTTTTCGAAATGTTAATTTACCTATTCTAAATATAGATAATATTTTAAGCGTTATTCTAATTATTTTGGGCAGTGTAATTTCTTATGGAAGAAGGGATGAAATAAACGTGAAACACGTGTCAGATTATTATAGAAATAAGTATTAAAATATCAAAATACAAAGCGATTTAAAAATTCGCTTGATGGGTGTTTTATTGTGTACTGTAATCAATGGACAACTGATTTGTTGATACATAACTGCCTCTGATGCCAATAATCTTGTAAAACAATATTTTAAAGAGAAAATACAAGATATTTGAAGCAAATATGTGATAAATTAATTCACATATCTATGTAGAAACGATAGGTTTGATTTTTGTTTAATTAGCAAATTGCCTGACGATGAGATATGGTTATAATAAATTAAAGAGTTTTGTTAAATCGAAATTGGATATCATATTAGTTTTAAAAAAATGCTAATTTTATAATTAACTTATATGCTAATGTACGAATATTTTTAGAAACGAAAGATAATAAGTATATAAGGGTGATATAATAATAATAAAAAAATAAGAATGTTTAATGATAATTGCAAATATTATTGATGGCAAAATTAAAATTTTTATTGCATAAAGTTCTGACAAATTGGGGCGCGTAATTATACCGCCAATTTTACATATCCTTTGACACACGTGATATCCGATTCAAGAATTTTAAATTTAATACTACTATGTATTTAAGACTATGAATTCCTCTCGAAAATTGTTATAAGAAAAATATTTGTTAGTCAACGTAGCGAATTTCTATCAAATGAAAAGCAGAAAAGAAGGAGGTAATTAGTCATTTGTAATTAGTCAGAAATCATACAAGTTCCTTTTTTAGGAACTATAAAATTACTATAGTTGTACTTTCTTTATGGTAATATTGCATTCCCGAAAATACTTTTCTGAATTTAAACTATTGTTTCCCAATTAAAAAATATATAAATCTTTTTATCGTAGCTCTTAGCTTGATATCGCTTTCTAAAAGTTATCTTTAGAAAACGATATCAATTACCAGGTCACACCACGTGGAGGTGGCTACATTAGTGACCCACCTAAAACAATAAAATTCTCAAAAAGAGACAACATTAAATACAAATTTAAACGATAAAATGTTGAAACAGAAAATATAATTAACATCATAATATTAGCAATAATTGAGAAAATAACAATTGAACATAAAAATGCTGTAATAGAAAAGATGATTATTAATATCATAGTCTCAGAACCATTTAATAAAAGAAACCAGAATACGAATGAGTGATGTGAGAACATAAGATATGATTTACATATAAAATCAATAAGAAGAGAATAATTTCCTGAAATAAAATAGTGACCTACCTAAAATCATAAAACCCCCCAAAACAAACAACATAAAACTTTCAACAATAAAATGCTGAAATAGAAAATATAATTAACATCATAATTTCAGTAACAATTAACAAAATAACAATTCAACAATAAAATGCTGAAATAGAAAATATAATTAACATCATAATTTCAGTAACAATTAACAAAATAACAATTCAACAATACAATGCTGAAATAGAAAATATAATTAACATCATAATTTCGATTACAATTGAAATGAAAAATGCCGAGAACAGAAAATATAATTACCATTACAATCTCAGAGATATTTAATAAAATGAGAACTCACCCAGACTATGTTTTAAATAAATTGAACCTATTTAAAATGGGAACATGAAATATAATTGATGTGCAAATCAATAAGAAAAGAATAATTTATTTCAATAAAGTAATAAACGAAAAAGAAATAGGGGAAATAAAATCGCGAGTTGACCATTCAACGAGCTGGGTATTGAACTCGTAAAATTTCGAGTTCAATATGTTCTCGACGATATGTGCAAAAGGCACATACAAAAGAAAAACCAAAAAATGAAAAACAAATTAGCGAGCATAGTGACAGAATGACTGTCCATCCGAAGATGGAAAGCCATTAGTAGTTCCCCTCTTCTGGGCAAATTTTGCCGGGGCTCTTCAGCATATAGCCTCTTCTTTCTTCGGCAATAGCCTCACAAAAATCACTCGCGAAAATTTTACGCTTGCTCAGACTTTCGTAAAAACGAAACATATAAACGAACAACAATTCTTTGAATCGCTACTCGCATACATGCACAATTTTTACAAATGTCCAAGCACAAAATAAGTTTAATTTCACTTCACTTCACTTCACTGCACTTTCACTTTAATACTTCATTTTTGTAATCGGGTCTAGTACCACGACTACGACTTACAAACTAATAAGGCTTGGCCTTGAAAAAATCAAGAGAGAATGCTAAATTAATTAATTAATCAACTAATTAATTTGCATTTTCATTTTCCTCTCGATTTTTTAATTTCCAACCCCAGATACAAGCTTCTCACGTATTAGAGGAGAATACGAAGAGAAACATGAAAGCTTGCTCTGGCCCTGCCTACTTATAAACTAAACTCAATCACACCAGAAGTAAACTACCTGCCTGCCTATCGCTATATTTAAAAAAGGGCAAAAATCATTCTCACAAAAATTCACTCCACGGTTCTCATACAACCACCCGGGTGCAAAAATGCCTACACCTAGAGAGAACGTCCCGGGACGCCTCCGACACCCGAGTTCAATACAACTTTCACACTCTAATAAAATCATACCTGTTTGCTGAAATCGACTGACAAATAATAGTGAACATTATGCTAAAGTAATACATTTCATTTTCGTATTCTATTGAATTATCTAATGTAAAAATTTTTCAATTTATTCTTGATAAGTATTTTGTAATGTTATAGTAAGTTAAGATTGTTAATAAACGATACAAATCCCACATCCTAACCACACACACAC